GGGTACGTTCGTAAAGTCAAACGAGTTAAACGCGTTAGTAACGAATCGTTCGAATAGTAGTAGTCTCGCTCAGTGCGCATGCTCTGCGGTGATGACGTTTCGAACGAAACTCTAACGAAGTTCACGAAGGAAAGAGTTAGTTTACTTCGTTAAGAAAATGGTTCCCGACGATATCGATGTTTCTAAATCTACTCGAGTGTTTAAATTGTGATTTAAAAGATGAAATAATTGAAGTAACTGTCCACCCGAAGCAATCTAAGAAAAATATTTCGGATAACGCTGTACTAGCAACATTTGTATCTTCGATTTTAGAAACAGCCATTTAGTTCTAAACGAATCGTTCGAAAAGTCTTAACGAAATAAGAATAACGATGACGTCATTCTCGTTTAACTCGTTCGACTTTACGAACGTGCCCTTTGACAGATCGCTCACGTGTCACGTTGCCGTATACAAATAAACCAATCAATTTACTCAAAAATTAAGACATGACATTTTCGACAGTTATATGCTCGGTTTAATAAATTATTTAAAGAACGATTTAAACTTGCTTAAAATAAATAGAATTGCTAGATAATTCTTTGTAATTTTTAAATTACAAAAAGAAAATTATTTTTAAATTGTAGTATTTTTTAACGCAAGGAGGCGCAAAGCGATGTTTTGATTGGTTTCAATTAGTGGCGTAATCGTCTGCTCTTGCAGAATTTGATAGAAGTGACACGACAAAAGAAAGGTAAGAGTTTCTTTCTATAAAATTATTAATTTAATTATTATAACTACAAAAATTTACGTTTAAACATCATTAATTGCTTTGTAAATAAATTAGAATTAGATAATCAAGATTGATAAGAAGGATTTAAAATGAACAAAGTTCATTTGATCAGAATAATTTGTTTAATGTAAAGTAATAAAGCTTGATAAATACTTTATTTAATTATTAAATTAATGAATTGCTTAACAAATTTTATATTTATAGATTGTAATTTATTAAGAAAGAGCTCACACCCCTTTAAAAAGTTCTGAAGTGGATGATGATAAACACCCTTTATACCTTATGGGCATTAAGAAGGCCTTTTTAGGAAGCCCATTACAGGTTTGGCCAGGCCCCCTGAAAAACCTTTTTGACTGGACAGGTCAAGGGTAAAAAAACCCTCCTCTTGGGGATTTTTGACACTTGACCCGCCCGGATTTGATTCCGGGTTGCCAGAGTAGTAACTGCCACCTTAACCATTTGTCCGTCTCTGTTTTCCACGTATATCGGATGGCTGAGGTGATTGAGGCATTGACTTGTCAATCCCACAAATGTTTTTGGTTGGTCCGTCCTGGATACTCTTACTTGTTAGTCTGGAATAAGAGCGGTTAATCCCGATGTTACTTGGCCAAACTTATCTGTTTACCCACGATGGGGTTTACCGGTATTGCCGACCAATAGATACTGTTGTGGGCCCGGTCAAGCCTACATTGGCTGGGCTGGATTTGCAATGTGAGGCCCTAAACTGCAGCTTATGAGTCACGGAACACTTTCGAACATAAGAAAAATTTTTAGAATGGCAAAATTACACGAAAATCGTAAAATGACAACAAAAATATGCACGAACATATTAATTTATTAAAAGTTATAGATTACAGAATAGATAGAAGTGAAGACATTAATTTAAAAAGTTACATTTGTAAAAACTGTTATGAGAATAACATTTTATGAAAATGGGACGTCTTTAAATTAATTATAACATAATACGTGAGCTTTTGGATTTTGCAGATTATATCAATATCAAGTCTAATGTGTGATACGGCTACTTTCATTTCTTCATTTATATTAGTAAATCTTTCTTGTTTTTTAGTTTCTATATTGGTGACAGCGCGATCTGAGCTCAAACAAATATACGAATATTAAAAACTGCAACAAAATGTTTTTTGCATTGAATGCGAAAAATTGTTTTTCGCGTTCACAAAATAATTAATAGCCACTCCAATCGATGTTTATTTGTTTTAAAACACATGCGCACCAATTTTAAATGTTTAATTCTAAAAATTTAAATTTAAAATCTTTTTTGTATGTTCAAAAACGGCTAGTATCGTTAATGTTTTAAATTTAAATGTATGGTTCGAATTCTTTATTTGAATTTAATTTTACCTGAAGACGACGTGCTTATTTACGTCGAAAGCGCTTGTAAATTAAAATAATTTCAAGTATATTTAACGCCTCATAGACTGATATTCTGTTATAACAAATTAATTTCCTTTACATTTTTATTAAGCGAAGAAATAGTATTATAATTTTTCCAAAGAAATACTTTTTCTGAAATGCTGACATTTGTCACTGGGTGTCAAAAAATTTTCATTTTTTCCTTGCACATTTGTATTAATGAAATTTGAGTAATTAAAAATATCAGATAAATATGCCATTTTAGAAACCAAATATTTTTAAGACAAATTTGTATCTTCATTTTGGAAAAAGCCAGTAATTAATTCTTAAGTTCTAAAATGAGCATATTTTACTCCTGAAGAACCATATTACTTCTATGTGCAAAAGCAAAGATATGTACTGAGTTCCATAGATATTCAAATTTTTAAAAAAATCTTGTTTTTTAATAATCTTTGGTTGATGTAATTTAACATATTTACAACTTGATCTAGTGTAGATTTTAGCATTGCCAGTAGGGATTCTCTATGCAAAGAACATTGCTTGAATATAGTATGAGTTCCTTGACTTTGCAAAGGTAACGAAGATAGTTCACTGCAAAATGCATGTTGCACCTTGTCTGGATTGTAAGCTGTGAATTTACTGTAAAGTTTGTTTAATCATAGTTTCAGCTAGTATGCTGCTTTCATAATTTTGCGGAACACTTGCAAAAAGTTCACGGAACACTGGTTAAGAAGCACTGGTTTAGATATATGATACACGTTATTTCGTGTATCATTATTTAGTGGAGGAGAAGTGCCTAACTATAGGTTATATAGCTTAGGGTCTCAACAAGTCTAATTCCAGCTCTACATGATGGGCATGGGAAAAGTCTCTTCTTAATGATGGAAAATGCCAAAATAAAAATTGTTTAAAAATTATATGAATTTATATTTATGATTTTATAATTTAATTATAAATTATAAGAATTGCGATTATTATAAAGTTATTGCAAATCTGTAATTCTAGATAATTTGTCAGAGTTCGGATGAATTGCAAAACACATAAAGATGTGTAATAGTTGTTTAAAGATGACATGTTATTTATCATTATAAAGTAGGCAACATTAATATCAAATTAAATACAAACAAATGTATCACTTTATCAGTATATAGAAATATATAAGATGATAAGATGTGTATAATAATAGTTATGTAACTATTTTAAATATATTTTTTATTACAAAAGTCTAATATTAAAAAATTTGGTTTTTTTTCCTGCTCTTTCTGTTCTGTGAACACAAGCAGAACCATTTTTCTAGATTTAAATGGATGCTGGATATTGAGGAATGAAATTTGACCCTTCTGGGACAGATCATCCATAATTTTTGGGGTTCTTTATCACCTGGATTTGACCCCATGTCCCCCAGAGCAGTAGGCTGATGCCTAGTTGTTATTTTTGATTGGTCAGATATTGGCTATCTTAAATATTAAATTTAACAATAAATAATTGGTGTACTGAAAGGTACTGAAGAAAAATTAAAAAGAATCCATTTTGAAATGAACTCGTTTATATGAAGTGTTAGTAACAGTTTTATATGTAAACAATAATTCAACAAATCCGATTTTTGATTAAAGCCAGACCATCTGCTGAATTATCGGGTTACGATTAGGCTAAGTTAATAATTAATTATGAAGTAATTTGTCTACGGGTAGGAAGTTGAGCTGCTATAACATGATAATTATATTTGTTTGGGTTTTATTTTATTTCTGAAAAATATTTGATACAGTTTAAAGAACATTCATATATTTAACTTCATTGATAAAGCATGATAACTTCTTATCATTAAGATAAGTAAGGCTTGGTCAGTTTATTGGTCTGCAATGTGAAAAATGCTGACCAATAAATAAATTGTTCAGTCTGTCTATCTGTCTTTCTTTAATCTCAAGAACAACATTAGATAAAAGTCAAGACCAGATACAAAAAGCCTAGGGGCAGGAGGCTCCGATTGACTATATACGAACTTCTTCTTTGGGCCAGAAGTAATGTTATTTCAATTAAAAAATTTCTCCCGAACGGAGTTAGATAGATAACTGGCATGACTTCTTTGTTAACAGGAAAAGTATAATGTACTGTACACATGGGTAAGACACTACTAAACTTAAGTGCATTGTGATTATTTATTGTGACATTTGTCACAATGTATAATTACTCATTTGTAAATATTTTACATATAATAAATATCAAATTTATTAGAATAAAATAATTGGTTTATTTAATTCATTAACTGTAATTTAATAATAAAAATTTGTAATCAAATTTTTGTAATCAAAATTTGCCTGTAATCAATATTCTGCTTCTTTTAATTATAATAATTTATAAATCTTTGTGTTTTTACAGATTAAAAATGGCACTACTAGAAACATTTATTGGAAATTTTACTCCTTTCTTGGGTCTTTCTGGAATACTACAAAGAGATTCAAATTACAAAACTGAAGTTTTGGATGATAAATTAACTAAAACCATTGTAGACAGAAGTTCATTTAATAAAGAAATTGCAGAAGTTTTGGAAAATATTGTGGAAGATTCTCCAAATCAAGAAGAAATTTTATGCAAACACATAGAAAGAAAATTATTTAGTAACTATGAAATAGTTTTAGATATGCCTCCCTCGATGAAAATGAAAGAGAAACAAGAATTGAGGAGAAAAATCATTGATAACGGGGGAATTGTATCGTATATGGTTACTAAAAAGGTAAGTTTATAACTTAATAATTAGATTGTTATTAATTGAGTGTTTAGAATGATGATAAATGTTCTAATTAATACATTATAAGTACAAGTAATTAAAAAAAATAAATTTATTACAAGCATAAAAGAGAATTTTCTGTAAAAATATGATGATATCAAATAATGATATAAAATCAGATGATTTCATGATGCTAAAAGTAATGAATTGTCTCTGTTTAAATNTATAGGAGAAAAGACCGATCAAATAGTTAGAGTTTATCCCTCACCTTTATATTTTCCTTTGAAGAAAAATTATATCGATACTATCGAAATCGAGTTAAGAACCGCTGGTGGAAAAGAAATTGTCTTTTTCGGAGGCAAAACATTATTAGTTTTATCTTTTAAACAATTATAAATAGTGCTTAATTTTATTTGCTAATGTTAGTTCATCTTGGAGAAGTACAAAATGAAGCTCGATCCTAAAGATTGTATAAATTATTACTGTAATCAGGCAGGAGGAACGATATTCAGACCTGAGTTACGATTTCCTCTCACACGACAATTAGGAACAGGGAATTATCAGGTCAGGAGACCTGAATCTGACACCACCGAGTCTCTGGGGGACTCGGAAATCGCGACGTTACGTCTAAAGATTCGCGAGCGGTAGCGTGTAAGCGCTTGGATTCGGAGTAGACGTGAGGAGAGAGATGAGGAAGTAACTTACTCGGACTCCATAGTAACAAATAAATAACAATTTTAATTAAGTCGAACTAAATACTATACAGAGATACTAAATACTATCGGGCATATCATCGTTCTATACTAGGCCGTTGAGAGAGAGAAAGTTTACAAACGAATCACGGGTTGATAAATATCTTGTCGAAGGACAGTTTTTTACCGTTGAATCTTGAATCAGAATCTTGTCTGCTCACTCGTGTGGAGGCACGGAGGAGTGTAGAGGCTTAATCTAGCACGAATGTTTGTCTCGGGTTTAATCCTGGGTTATGGTTTTAATCCGGTGTCATGATTTTTATCCTGGAGGATGACTTTGTTGGGTGGACTTTGGATGACGACTGACCTCGGGGTCTTTTTTTCTTTTCTTTTTTTCATTCCTCTTGGGTTTTTTCCATGAGGTCAGGTGATGGCCTTTAACGGTCGCACGTCCAATATGTCTTCTCCATCAAAAGTTCCTGGTGACACATCCCTGACTAACTTGATCCGACTCAACAAGGAACAAACTCCGTGGGAAATAATTTTTATGGCTTTTAGCCTAACTCGATAAAACGCTCGAATTTAACCGATTAAAGTTTCNCCAAATCAAGAAGAAATTTTATGCAAACACATAGAAAGAAAATTATTTAGTAACTATGAAATAGTTTTAGATATGCCTCCCTCGATGAAAATGAAAGAGAAACAAGAATTGAGGAGAAAAATCATTGATAACGGGGGAATTGTATCGTATATGGTTACTAAAAAGGTAAGTTTATAACTTAATAATTAGATTGTTATTAATTGAGTGTTTAGAATGATGATAAATGTTCTAATTAATACATTATAAGTACAAGTAATTAAAAAAAATAAATTTATTACAAGCATAAAAGAGAATTTTCTGTAAAAATATGATGATATCAAATAATGATATAAAATCAGATGATTTCATGATGCTAAAAGTAATGAATTGTCTCTGTTTAAATTTAACAGATTTTAACAACTTAATTAATAGTAATTCTTATTATTTTTATAAAATATTTTTATTGTGTTTTTTATTATTTATATAACTTCTGCTGTTTACAGTAATTATTTTATTTCTTGATATCAAATTTTCATTATTTTTGTTTTATTGTTAACAACACATGATCAGAATAATGATGTGTAACTAACTAAGCAGTGTTGTTATCATTTTATTGGTGTCCTTTTGACCAAATATCAGTAAATTAAATTTATCACTTGAAACCTAATGATGCACGAATGTTTTGAAAGTATTTAAAGAATTTTATTAATATTGTTTTCAATCTGCTTTCAATATTTCTTTGAAATACAATTATTGCCTCTTGAAGTGTATCACTTTAAATTGTTTTGTTACAGATCGCTGTATTAAGAATTACTTTCATCATCATTTGAGAGGAACTTTTTAATCTTTATGAATATTTCTGTAAAATTGATGAAACTAGTCTGTACAAGTTACATAAAAATGTGATTACTATTTTCATTGCTTTATTTTCTTCACAACTCTTACTTGTTCAAGTCTCTTAACCTGAACATTGATGGTACATTGGCTAGTTCATCATAAAATAAAAGTTTTTCAATATCTTCTAACATCTGTTAAATTGTTATTATGTGCTGAATATTGTGTTTGTGAAATGATAAATGTCAGTAATTAGTCATAGTACATAGAAAAATTAGCATAAACATGTTTCCGTAGAAAAGAAATTACAGGTATCCCTCATATAACACAGTAGATATGTTCCGAAAAAGTGTCATGTTATGTGAATCTGTGCTACACGAAACAAAGAACTAATGCAAAACATAGGGTTACATTCCAGAAGTTAGCAAAAGTATACTATTCTTTTTCATAATTAAGAGAAATGTGTTTATTAACGCAATTAATAATTTATTTCCAGTCAATAATTTACTAATAATCACAATTAAAAATACTGTATGACATGTTAATATTAATTTTAGTTAAACGAGTACTTTCTTTTTACAAATTATCGTTGTCATCTCAGCTTTTTTGTTGATCTTGATCAGAAGTATCTGCAAAATTTTCATACATTTTATTATCATCATAAAAAATTTTTATGGGTGATGAAATAAAAATATGTTATTAATAGAAAATTTGTTCTACCGGGTTGTCTTTGTTCAGTCGCTTACCAAGCAACTTTTTTCCAAAATTTGTGTTTGAATGCTGAATTGTCCAAGTACTGAGTTATCATTGTATTTCATTTGTCATTTTATGAATGATTGCTTATCTACAGTTAAATGTTTAAATAAACTACTAAATACGAAGATTAATCTATAAAAAGAAAACACAGTGGCTTGAGGGCTAAAGTCTGAAAGCAACAACAATGACATTGATTGATAGGAAAGTTAGGACAAGGAATAAAAAATTGTACTATCAGTCTTTATTATAGTGAACCTGATAAAAGGCACAAAACGAATTGAAAATTTCAATATTCTAAAATTCATGGACAAATTTGAGACAACATGCATGCTTGTGTGAATAAAAAAAATCAAATAATGAAATTTACACTTAAAAATTGTGAAATTTTGTACTGAGGAGTTCCAAAACTGTGTTAAAGCAAAACCGGTTGTTGCATTGTATGTGGGATATTCCGAATTTTCTAACCATGTTAAAGCAAAACCGTGTTGTATGAAGGCTACCTGTATTTTACTTTCTTATTACTTTAAAATCTAATGATTTACAAGGTGTTAATTTTATATAATAGGTGTTTTTTTTATTTTTTTTTTATATTATATATTGCACATTTATTTTAATAGGTTATTTCATAAGAGATTATATTTTAAACTCAAAACATAAGTCTCAGTAATGTAATATATTTCAAATAGTGCTATGAGAATATTTTTAAAATGGAAACTGTTCATTATTTGAATTAGTGACCTGATGAAGAGGAAGAATGTTTTGAAAGATGTTTAATCTTGATTAAAATATTCAAAGACTCCTTAACATTTTATCATTTTTATATTTGGTAAAAAAAGCAGAACGGTTAACATACAGAGTACATTTCATTTATCCATGTTCGTTCATCTTGTTTTGATTGTACTAATTTTCATTGCCATTTATTTGACAATATTGTATTTAGTGTAATTGATTGAGAACTGTACAAGATTACTGAGCTATGATTCCGTTTCAATTTCTAATTTTTTATGTATCAGGTGATTTTAATTAAAGTTTCAATGCTTTTTAGCAAGACATCCAGCAGTCTAAATGATAAGGTAACATTTTAAGACTTGCAGAAGACATTTCCATAAAAAAACAATTTGTACCAAAACTTACCACTATGGAACTTTTGGTGCTACAAGCAATAATTTTGTTTGTTTTGATACTAAAAAAGTGTGATTTATCAAGGACCTGTTGCAAATTTGTCAACTTGAGAGATAGTATTACTTTGCCTGTGAGAAGCATCATAGAGGATTAATTACTGTCAGCTGTCAAATGCCTTCAGGTTATACACTTTCAAAGGAGACCACATTGAGTAGTATTTCCTGCATTGCTAGGGTTTCTTTGTATAGCATGAATGCCTTGTAGAAATAAAATGCTTGTTGTTTCAGTGTCAAAAATACCATAGTGGTGAATTTTGGTACTAATTTTATTTTATTGGTATAGTGACATTTCAAGACAGGTCGTTTGAAATGTCACCATACCAAATTTGATTGAATTTAAACTGCTAAATATTTCTCTAGTCAGCATTGAACAGAGATATTTTTAATTACAATCAGTTGGTATGTAAAGATTCAATTATAGATTTGTATGTGTTGTATGTATAATTAAAACTGTTTAATGTTCTTTTGGATTTGAAAATTTAATTGCAATAAATTAGAATTTTATATTAGCAAACAGTAACTATTTTATGGCACCCCTAAAGTGTCACTGCAGCATTCTAGTATGTTGCAACAATTAGAGCCAATAGCTATTTTCATCCTCTTACATGTGTATTTTATAATGCTACCTACATATTCATAAATCATAATTACTCATTTGATTCTTTAATGTCAGAATCCTGACAATATTAATAATGAAACACTCAATTTGAAATCTTCAATTCTAAATAAATGATTTTTGTGTTTTTGAAATCTTTATTTTTCAATACTTAATGTGTATTAATTGATTGATATTTTTAAGCTACAATTTTCAAATTGCAGACCTATAAATTCCCACTGGCATTTATCTGTCTGTCTGTCCTTCATTAATCTTGAGAACAGAGTTATATAGATGACGGGTATGACTTGATTGTTATCAGGAGAAGTATGATGTACAGGGGCAAAACAGATATGAAAAGCTTAAGGACCAGAAACCTCATTTAACTTCAAGTGACTTCCGGTTCAGGGAAGTCACTTGATTTCTTTTTAAATTAAAAGATGATTAAATATTGCAGCTCAGCATTATGAAGATGTCACAATGAATAATTACTTGTCTAAAAATTTCAGCAGTATATTAACACTATATAAGGAATATATAATTTACTCACTTGCTATTATATTTTTTTTTTTCAGACTAAATTTGTAATTTGTTTAGAATCAAATACTTCGTCAATGAAACAAAAGACAGCAAAGAAATATGGAATTCCTATGGTAAAAGAAGATTATATTAATGCATGTTTAAAAAACAAGAAGCTACTTGATTCCAAATCCTTCCTGATTTCAAATGAAACACAAATGAATGGCTTTCGTAAAGGAAAAATTTTCGGTAAATTAAATTCATAATTAAAATTTTAGTAAACCTGTTAAGTGTTAAGAATATATTTTGGAAGAATATTTTACATTATATTTTACAAAAAATAATAATATAGTATATAATTCTTAGAATAATTTGATGTTAGTTTAAATAAACTCGAGGTAATTTTTGACATTTAGTGAAACAAGATCTGAGAGAATATAAAATAAAAATTAAAACTTGTTTCTGTTCTGATATATTTTCTTTAAATTATTTAAAAATTTTAATTTCTGATTTATTTTATAAAAATTAGTCAATGTCATACACATTAAACTGATTACAGTGTACTGTTAATGATTTGAACTGTAATAATTACAGTATGAGGTTGTTCAGATTAGCAGCATGATATACAAAGAAATGGAATTCAAAATAACAGATCAAATACATTTACATTTATAAATTTCTGTACTGTATTTGGTACACATGTTTATGTTTAAAAAGTATCTACATTGTGTTAATTTTACACGTTTGCCATATTTAAAAAAAAAATTCTAGGATTTAATTATATATTTGGCTGGAACATTTAACTGAAAAATGAACAATATTTGTTCATAATATAATATACAAAATTGAGATTTGTGAGTGTGTACTTGATATAATAGTAGTAGTAACGAATACAGTAAATAAAATATTGTACTAGTATAAATTTAAAAATTTCTTTATATGTTTTTATTGCTTTTCTTCTAAATTTCTTCTCCATTCCTCCATTCTAAATTTCTTCTCCAATGTTTTCCAACATTTTTTTAATAGTGCCACCTAAACTTGATAATTTTTTTTCTTGCTGTACTCATACTTCTTTGTCAATATAGAGTTAGTACATGCTTTGAACTTTCAGTAATACATGTAAGAATCCTTATGTTTCTCAGTACTATTTTGTGGCATCCCCTAAAGTGTCACTGCAGCATTCTAGTATGCCGCAGCAAACTAGTTAAAAACCATTGCCTTATCCTTTTCATATTATTATTTTTTATTGTGTGTGTTGAAATTTTCATAGCATTTCTGTTTCTTCTGTACAACTTTTTATTTTCATATCTTTCTAATCATGACTTCTTTTCCATTTTTCTAATGGCTGTAATATTTTAATCTGATCAATTTAAAAATGTTTTTATTAAATATATAAAGCTATATCGTTAGATTTTTTTAAGAAAAATAATAATGATTTATAAAAAGATACAGATGAATCTCTCTGTCTTGAATTTCACGGGAATGAGAAAAAATTTGAGTTAGTCAGATTTTGAGATATAAAGGTTCCTGCACAGTAATAGGTTTGGTTGGAAATATGGTATTTTATTAACACAGTAGCAAATACAGTACATACTTGAATTAGGTATAGATAAAACATTTTTGACATACCTTAACAAAAATAGTTTGTCAATAGTTTCTAATGCCTGATTTTCTTCAACCAATAAGATGCAAGCCAAACTCATAGCCTTAGCCCACCAGTGGCTGAGTGGATAAAATCACTGAACACTGGTCCTGAGTTTGCACCTCACCAACAGGCTGGCCACATGGAGTTATCCAGGTTTTCTTCACATTTGTAACATCTAAATAGGGACCAGTTTCCTATTAAAGTCTTTCCTGGGGATATTGCTCATGTATCACGTGGCCATAAACAAATAAACTAAACCAAAGTCATAGCCAATCAAAGAAAAGCAGTGTTAATTATAACTATTTGCTATATTGCAAGAGATGTTTCTCAACTACAATTTATGATACCATAATGTAGTTGCTTAGCTTTGAGGTTGTAATTGATAATTCATCTGTAATTTGAGATATAGAGGTTTTGTGAGAAAATTATTTGCAATAAACATGGAAAATATATTGAATTTAGACTGAAAATACAGGGGGAAAATAAATTTCAAGATAAAGAGCTTTTTAAGTAAACATATTTGAGATACAGATTCAACTATATATGAAAAGTAGATTAGAATTTAAAATATTTAAATATTTATTCTATATATTGAACTTGTAATTCAGTTTTATGTTTTGTGTAACTCTTAAAATAAGATTGATAAAAATAAACAATAAAAATAAGTTATTTATTTTCAGATATTTTTATCTTACTCAAATCTGTGAGTTATCAGTAATCATGGAATTAAACAATACAAAGTAAATTGATAATTGTTGTTTGAATTTCTTACAGGAAATTTTGTTATAAATGCATTAAATTAATTATTATTTGGATGAAATTCAATACAGCTAAATAAGTTTAAAAATGAATTAAAACATCATTGTTATGTATTATTTCAGTTTGTTCTTTAAATTCCTCTGAAATCTGATAAAAATAACATTGAATAATTTTTTGTTAGGTAAACTATGATTGAGTGAACCTTCAGGTTTGCTTAGCATCTAAGTTATATTGCAAAGGAATTTAAGAATTTATTTCTGATGACGATATGCATTTATCAGCATACTTATATCTGATGTATTATATATAATAAATGTAATTGCAGAAATATTTTCATTACATGTTTCTATAATCCAAAGAATAACATCATGATATAAATAGATCATATTAAAAAATTCTGTACTTAACATATACCTTCTATCAGTTTTGTGTGCCTCTTGTTTTTACATGTAATAATTGTAGCACTGTATACTAATAATGTATAAATTGTTAGTGTATAGTGCTGTTTTTTCATATTCTTATATTCTATATTGATATTTGACAATTACATTTGTTAAGCAGCACATACCTATATAGTTATGGATTTTAAATATTAATTTGGCACATTATAAAATACAGTATATATGGTGTATTACCAGATATTTATTATCAGAATACATTGAATTTTATTATTTATTTTATTGCATTTGTTGTTTAACAGGATTGTATTAAAGTAGTAAAAAAAATTCTTGATATAATTGTGACCGTAGGGTCGGCACCTCTTTGGCGCCCTGTCAGGAGACCTGAATCTGACACCACCGAGTCTCTGGGGGACTCGGAAATCGCGACGTTATGTCTAAAGATTCGCGAGCGGTAGCGTGTGAGCGCTTGGATTCGGAGTAGAGGTGAGGAGAGAGACGAGGAAGTGACTCACTCGGACTCCATATGTTCTGACAAAAATTCCATTTTAATAATAAACAAAGAAAATACAGAGATATCGGGCATATTAGCGGACTTAATTATACTATTCCGTTCGAGAGAGAGAGTTTACAACCGAATCGCGGGTTGATAAATACCTTTCTTTTTCCTAGGTCGCAGATCTATAGTATGATGACACTCTTGACTCCTCTGAAATGGTCTTTCCACTAGTTCTTGTCCGTTAATTGGATCTCGGAGGTGTGGAAGCACGGAAGTGGGGTGAGATTCTTAAGGAGACACGGTGTTACTTCTGTCAAGGTGTTATTTCGGGATTTTGGTGCACGGGTTTTATCCTGGATCACGGGTTTTATCCTGGGTCACGGGTTTTATCCTGGGTCACGGGTTTTAATCCTGGGTCACGGTTTTAATCCTGGAGGATGACTTTTGTAGAGGGACTTCGGATGACGACTGACCTCGGGATCGTTTTCTTTTCTCTTTTTTTTTCCTCTTGGGTTTTTTCCATGAGGTCAGGTGATGGCCTTTAACGGTCGCACGTCCAATATGTCTTCTCCCTCAAAAGTTCCTGGTGACACATCCCTGACTAACTTGATACGACTCAACAAGGAACAAACTCCGTGGGAAATAATTTTTATGGCTTTTAGCCTAACTCGATAAAACGTTCGAATTTAACCGATTAAAGTTTCCAATAATTAAAATTTAAAATAATACTTTATTGTGGGTCTGTTCGTCCCTCACATAATCATATTTTTATTAGCTGGTTTGAGGTAATACACATTTTTTTTAATTGTAGGTAGTATGATTATATATAACATTTTAATTGACTACACACATTTATTATTGATTATGCCAAATATTTAAAATTTGATATTGTACAGGAAATATTTTTATTCTTATCTGTTGGTTTTCAGTGTCTTCGGATGTGCAAAAACAGCCTACAACTGTTCAAGTATTTTTGAATTCACTTCCAACATATCCATATGAAGAGTTACTTGGATATGAACTTGTTAAACCTGTGGTTTTGAAGGTGAATATCAGAAATCTTTACAGAGCAATACTGTTTAATTGTTGATTTTTAATATATTTAATAAAATTCTACTTTTGATTTATATGATAAATGTATTATTATTTTTATTTACATTTTAATTACTTTAAATTCAATTCTTTTTAAGGGAAAAGCACAAAAAGCATCTTCAAGCGGTACATTACGTTATAATTTTTGTATTGTTGAACTTCATGTTGCTTCTAGTGAAAGAAATGTTGTTGAAACAGATAAACAGTTTTGTGTGTTTGTAGAAGAAGGACACATAAGTCAACAAGTAATGATGAATTTATTTGAATATAAAATGCCATTATTATTTGAAATTAAAATAATGATGATGTTTTTCAGGATGAAAGTATTGTTGAAAGTAAGAAAGTTTGTTATTTCCTTGAAACAGCTGAAAGAGCTTTGTCAGTATTTAGTCAGCTTTATTTTGCAAAATGTGGACCACCTCATTACATGATTGAAGTTATGGAAATTCTACATCCCGAAGTTGGATCTCTTGCATTTCAAAAAGTATGCATTTCAACTATAAATGTTTAATTTTTCCATTTTATTTAAAAAATCATAAATAAAAATCAAATTATAGTTAATAATAATAAGGTAAAATAATAAATGGTAACACATAAACTATAAATAAGAATTTATTACACAAGTCCATATGGAAATACTTCTTTAATTGCTTTTTTAGTTTTGTCAGTTTTGTTACTAAGCTCATTGTTGTTTCATTTGTTAGTGAATAAATAAATAATTTAACTTATAACAATTTATAAGAAAGATAAACATTGTATTAGATATGATAATTAGTAATTATATTTATATTTATATAACTGGGCTGAATTTGAAAAAATTGTAAACCTATAAATTTCCACTGTCATTTGTCTGTGCATCTGTCTTTCCTTAATCTCGAGAATAGAGTTAGATAGAGGAAAGACAAGACCAAATATGGAAACTTTGGGGCAGGACACCCTGATTAACTATATATGAACTGTTGATGCAAACTGGAAGTCACATTATTTCAATTCAAAAATTTTCTACTGAAAGGTGTTAGATAGATGATCAACATGACTGTTGTTAAAGGAAAAGTATGATGTTTATGAGCAAGCCTCCACTAATTTGAGGTGGAGAGCATATATTTTAAATGAAATAAATTAAAAATTGCAGTCTGGCATTGTGACAATGTCATAATAAATAATTGATCGTTACTATATAAATTTGATATAAATATATTGCATGTAATTTTGACATATAATATATAAAATTAGAATAATTAGTTTCACAACCAAATTTGTTAAATTTTTTTTTTAAATAAACAACTAAGACCAAAATCCAGCAAGGAAAGTATACTTTAATAAGCAAAACAGGATGCTCAGTGCTATTACAGGGATGTTAGTGTCCAAATTTGGATACTCTTCCATCTTTGTTAAAGTAGAGACTATGATTTGTTTGAACTTATATGCATATATCATCTCTTAAATATTTTGTCGCATCCAATAAAAATTGTTGTTCCTTTTTTAAAATTTTGTATTCCATTTGCAATCTCATTTGAATCTACTCATTTAAATCTGATCATAATTTTAAAACAGTTGAAAATGTTTATTTTACTTATTAAAGTATCCTTATCCTTGCTGGATGAGTTAGTGTTTATTTGAACTGAATCCAGTTATATGAGTTGTTTATTTGCATTTTTTTAAATAATGTATACTAAAATATTTGAGTGTTATTTGTAATGAATATGAAATGCAGTTAATTGTAAATGATAAAATAACTGTTTGTTTTTAAATATTAAAAAGCATCAGGTAGAATAAATTTTCACAAATTTTTGTGTGTCTAGTTTATAATAAAGAAATTAGGCTACTTGGAAAACTGAACAAAAACAGTAATGCATTTTGGCAAATTCCTAAATTAGTAGTCAGAATAAGCCAAATATTCAATTGCATTCATGTGGTTACGCTGCAAATTTTTAATAATGGTGTCATGTTCAGTTTTTGTTAAATCTTGAGTGACAAATATTTGTCATTTGACGAATACAAAGTGCTACGGATGGATAATTTGTGGTATATATTTGAGATTTGCCAAATATACCTGAATGTTTGCTATTTTCATTGGAATCAGTCTTTTCACTCACATTAAAGAAGAAAAACATTCATCTTGGCCACCAAACTACATTTTTTTTTACACTATTTTCAAACATCTGAGTCTCAGGAAATAGATGCATATATATACTTGTGGGCTTATTACTTGACAAACAGTTCACATCTGCAGGAAAACATTTATCATTTGAAAAATAATGCATTCTAGCATCACCTTAAAAGTAAGAAACATACAAAATTGTTGAATTTTATTCAATAAATATTAATATTTTGTAAATAGATTATTAATATTCATTTTATAGAATATAAATTTATGAATTATTTTTAAAACATGAATTTAAATAAAATATTTTTATTTATATTGTTTTTTAAAACCAGATTACAATTTATATAATTCGTGAACTTTTGTAAGAATAAGTTTGTATATTTTCAGTTGCAGTTGGAATTAAGTTCATTATCTTCACACATAGATAAAAATGTTCTAAATATTGTAGAATTAATATGGACAGAAGCAATTGGACATTTAAAGAAATATCTAAGTCATCCCGAATTTATACCTTTGTGGAAGGTTTGTAACTTTATTTGAATATTATAAATTTTTAAAAATTTTATTATAATAATAAAACTTGTTAATTTTTATAAAATTTTATCAAATGTATAGATTGATGAAGCAGAAAGTATTTTACTCCAAATTCACTCAATGTTAAATGAATTTGATTCAGAAGAATTACTAGAGAAACTTAGTAAGGAATTTTATTCAATTTTACCGCATGTGCCAGAATACAGTCAAACTATCAAGTCTAAACAATTAGTTGCACAAAAAAAAGACCTATGTCAAGTGAGGATATAAAAAATTGAATTTTAACTTAATAATTTTACGTGTACTTATTAAAGTGGTTTAAAATTTTAGGTTTTACGAGATATGGTTTCTGTCAGTGAAGCCATTGGTTGGTCACCGAAAGGTTGTTTCCATGCCAAATATAAAGCACTTCGATGTCATATTCAATTTTTGCCTTCTGATAGTGAAGAATTTAACAAAATGAATAATTTTGTGATTAATTCACAATTTCGGTATTGTATTTAATATATGTATTTTATTTCTTAAAAACATGCATACATGACTTATAAAATATACTTATCTCATTCATTATTAGAAGAAAAACTTCCTGGTAATGAAGTAAAATTTAATACAGTATTTCTACTTTAATGATAGTCATTTAAGTTAAGTTTATTGTAAAATTGATGAGCATTAATTGAATGTTGCTGGATTTTTGATGCATGCAGGTCTTACTGTATTAACATGATAAACAATTCATAAAGCAAGCATTTATGTAGCAGTCTGAACATTTTCATTATTCCTTAAATGAGAAAAATTTCAGTAAGTTCAGTGAAAATGAACACACCAAGAAATTTTATATTATGGAACCATTAGTCCAGTCCATGCCTTTTTAACATCTTTTTAGGAATCGTACACACTTGAAAAGGCATACAAAAGTTGCAGCATGCTATTATTAAATATTTTGGGTTTGGTCAACAGATGGATCAAACAGTGAATGATGAAGTTATATTTAATTGAAGTAATATCAAAGTCTTGTTAATGATGTTATCAATTCTAATCCACAGTTACCTTTGCCTACATAAAATCTTTGCTTTCTTTTTTTTATTCTATAATTTTCAAATTGCAGATATATACATTTCCACTGTTGTCTGTCTGTCTGTCGTTTGTTAATCTTGAGAATGGAGTTTGATAGATGAAAATCGAAACCAGATATGGAAAGCTTAGGGCTTGAGACTCTGATTAACTTCTGGAAGTTGCATGACTTTTTAAAATTAAAAGATCATTGTCACAATGCCATGCAGCAATTTTTAATGTCACAATAAATAATTGTTTGTTTCATTGTGTTGAGGCTCTCCTGACTTTGCTACTTCTGTTACTGTGAAAATTGTGGTGCAAACAAAGCCCTTTTCACCTTATTTGTGTTTTTACTTGAATGGAGATCCTGTGGTGAATGAGCACTTGTGTAAGATATTTTTCCATTTATTTACCATTTAAATATCATTAATAGTTGGCCTAGTTAATTTGTTGTGAAGTATTTATACTAATTAGAAATTATTTATATTAAGTTATTCAGTATAAAATAGTTGCAATAATAGATTCTTTCACATTGAGAACTTTCAATATTAGCATTTCAGAACTACTTTGTATTTATAAAAATATTGTCATTTCCAAAATACAGTTTGTACATGCCTTAAAAACCCTTAATTTTTAGAAGCATTTAGAAAATAATTAAGAATCCTTAATATTCTTATTTTTGCCCTGTTTTTTCTTTTTCAAAAAGTTCTTCAAAGTCCTGCATATAAGGTATCCTCTAGTTCAAATAAAAACAGTAATGATTTTCTTGAAAAAGCATAAATTAAAGTTTTATAAAAATTGATTATTAAACGTGCTTTTTTAAGAAGATATTGTATAATTTTATGCTTTGCAAAATAAAACAATTTAAATAATGAAAAAGATGTGCTGCTGATGCAAACAAAGTTATTAACAAAGTAAATAGAAAATATAGAATTCTGTGAATTAATTTTTATGGGTGAGATTTATAATAATATCTAAGAATTGTTAGATACAGTAATATCTCAGTCTTTGTCGATAATCATGTCCACTTGTACTGAGTAAATCAATGGAGTTGAACCTTGTCTTGTGACAGACTAGAACAATCTTTCTCACTCTCCTTCCACTCTTGGTTCCCATCGGTTGCCATCTAGAATCAGATGATAGACTGGATCTACTCTCATCTGAGAAGAACATGATAGCCCAGTTGTCATTAGTCCAATTGCAATGCAGACGGCACCATTGCAAATGGGCACTTCGGTGGACTTTCGAGTGGGACACATACAACAGATCTTCAGGCGTATAGTCCATTTCTTTCACAAATGTCTTGCAACAGTTTTATGGGATATCTTAGTTCCTGTGGCTCCCTGTAAATGACTTGCCAGTTCACCAGCTGTGCTACGTCAATTCCTTTTTGCTGAAAGAACAATATACCGATCTTCTTGGGGTGTTGTACTGCTAGGACGACCTCCTCATTGTGCCTGCTGCACATTCCGCTAGTTTGAAATGCTGTCCATAGTCTAGAAATGATACTGTGTGCAATGTTAAATTCATGCACAACATCTGTTATTTTTTGCCCTTCTTCCAGCTTTCCGATTGTTCTTTCATGAGTAAAATCATCTAAATGTTGCCTAGAAGACATGTCCAGAATTTTATTATTGTAACTTCACTCCTCCACATTCAAATTTCACATCCAACGAAAACTGACTGCATGCACATATTTGCCTGAAATCTCTTATCTGTGCTGTCATGTGACCAACATGTGTGGAACTCAAACATTTGTATAAGTTTTACATAACAGAGTACATCACAATTTCAAGCATATATCAACAGGCTGCTACAGTTCAATTTCTAACTGTAATTGTTGAAAATAGCATAAGTTTTAAAATAAATTAAACTCCATTTTTGTGGCTAAGATAGGAGCATTCAAAAGTTATTTATTCCTGTTTATGTGGCCAACAGAACAAGAAAACATGCACATGTAAAAGCAATGTATTGTTTAAAGCATTTTAAATGAATTGAACTTTCATTGCTATAGTTTTTGGAACAGTTTACTGAGATCTTTTTTGAATCCTGATTGTATTTTATAAAAAATGTAACTATGTAACTGGCAAACCATGATGAATTTGCTAGAAAGGTCCTCTTAGTGTCCACAAGACAGAGTTAAGGAAACACCCCACCTAAGTAACCATCTCACTTATGTGTCCGGAAATTGTATATTCTGAAGATGGCCACATAAGTAAGGTTATACTTTTTTTAAAACAATACATCTACTTATTGAATAGGGTATGCTTTATTAAAATCAATTTTAGCATATATTTTTTTTCGTAAAGGTTTATCTCCCTTTTATCTGTGTGTAGTGTGTGCACACACACACACAAAGTTTTGAATGTATGTGTGCAAATTAATATTTTTTCATTTTTTTCTTTTGTAGGGAAACATGTATTAAAGTTCATAATATTTATGCTATTCATCGTGATATAGAATATGCAGAATTTACAAGCCAAATATCAAACAAACAATTATTATTTCACTCTACTGTATCTTCTAACATTGTTGGTATTCTTTCACGTGGTTTGAAGTTGCCAAGAGTTATTGTAGCAGAATCTGGAGTTGAAAGAACTGATGTTGGAATGCTTGGTAGTGGAATTTATTTTACGGATTCTGCAAGGTTGGTTCTGTTTATATTTCTAATGAAAATTTTAATTATTACTAATTTAATTACTCTAATAATATAAATATATTAAAATTTGTGTATAAAAAAATTTTCAAAGTGATATAAATTATATATGAAACTTATTATGTTCAAAACAAAAATCAATAATTAGAGAATAGGTAAACAAAATAAATACAAGTCAAAATTATTTCACATGTTATTTTATTAAATCAGACAGAAGTGATTGTTATAACCATATAGCATGGTAATTATTTGTGTGCATGTGTGCACACAAAAAGCCAGGGTAAAGCTTGAAGTCAGCTGAGAGTAAGAGAGGACAATGTGTGTGACATGTCTCTGGTTAGTGTGGTGATTAACATGTTTGACTATATGACTTTGCATAATATATGTCTGGAAGAAAAGATCAGATGGAGTTACGTGTAGTATAACTGTTAATAATTAAAGCATTTGCATGATGTATTAAAAATGCAAAATCAAGTTCATTCTGAGTCACTCTTTTCTTCCAGAAACTTTTAAATAATTCATTTTAATCTAAATTTATTTTTGTTTTAATAAATTTAATAGATGATGAATTTTAAGCGTGTGCCATAAACCAAACTATTTACTTTGTGTAATGAATTAGTAATCACATTATAGTCTGAAAAATCTGTCAGTTATGTATTTGTATATTAATATGGGGTTTGGCAATTATTTATAAAGTTTGTAATAATTATAGTAAATGAAACTTAATTTGCAAATGACAATCTGTTAATATAATATTATTAGTATTATAATATTGAAATGTTTATTTTAATTTTAGTTCTTGCATTAAATATTCTGCTGTGAATAAAATGAGGAATACCAGATTTATCCTGGTTTGTGAAGTTGCATTAGGAAAAGTATATCATACAAATAAGTTCCAGATTTCTCTGAGTAAGCCTCCAGAAGGATTTGAAAGTGTTCATGGAATTAAAACATCAGATTATGAAATAACTGATTTTCAGGTGAAATTATAGTTATTGCCTTTTAATTATTAAGAATTATTTTATTAAATCTTATTGTTATTTTGTGTTACAACAGGATGATGAATTTGTTATCTATGATCCTTGTCAACAACAATTAAAATATTTGATTGAATTTTCATTGCCAGAGGATGATGTGAAACCTTTTCCAGATATCACAGAGCTTTTAGAAGAAGAACCTCCTCTTAAACCTGATAAAAATCATATTAATTTAGGTAAAATGTATTTACAGATATGTTAAATTTATAAAATTAAGTAGACATATTTTGTCTGCAAATTTATAAATTGCAGACAAAAATTTCAAAAGAAAGTAATTTATTTTGAAAGTTCATGAAACTGAATGAAATATAATATCTGTATCATATGGCAAATATATTAATTTATGCTGTATATCTGTAAATTCAAGTAGAATTTATAAGATTTAATATTAAAATTGTAAAATAAATTATATACAAATTTGTAAAATATATCAAAATTGCATCTTTAAAAATACTAAAATATTTTTGTTTTCAACTGATTGTTTATTTTAACTTTCACTAAATAAAATAGCATTTTATTATTTACAGATTTTGAAACTGAAGAGAATTTAAGTGTGGAAAGTAATAAAAAAATAGAAGCTGGCTTGAAATTAATAAATAATGTAGAAAATATTGAAGTTCCCTTAAAATCAGTTGATGTCCAAGCAAAAATAATCGATTTAGTATCTGAAGTATTACAGATAATAAATAGAGAATTTGTTTATAGTTTATGTAATTTATTAATCTACAAAATTAATATATTAATTTCTATACAGGTAATTGTTCTGCAAGTGTATCAAAACAACAATGATAGTTCTGTGGAAGCCAAATATATTTTTCCTTTAGAAGTAGGAGCGGCTGTTTGTGGCTTTGAAGCATTCATAAATGATAAACATATTGTTGGTGAGATAAAAGAGAAAGAAACGGCTCATAAAGAATATAAAGAAGCCATTCAGAAAGGGCATGGGGCATATCTTATGGATGAAGAACAACCAGTAAGCATTAATTGGAAATATTAATGCTTATACAAAAATATCATTATTATGTTATTTTTCAGAATGTATTTACTGTAAGTGTTGGCAATATTCCTCCTAAAACTACAGTGATCATTAAAATTACATATATAATAGAATTGCCTGTAATTGATGAGGTGATAAATTTTAATATACCTGGTACTGTTGCACCTTGGCATTCACAATTGATTACTGAAACTCAGGTAAATTAAATTTAATTTAATCATTTTATATGAATTATTATCTAATGAGTTTTATATAAACTATATTTTAAAACTATGTGGAAATATCTTAATTTGATGCAGTTTATCTAAACTTATGTGGCATTGAAAGATGTAAAATTGAATAAATACTTTCAACTTATTCAATATTTTAAATGTTAAAAAAAAACATTCTGTAGTCAGTTGTATGAAATGTTTTACAGTCATATGCATTGCTTTGATACTGAAAGACCAAGAATATATTGTGAAGGTGTAGATTTTATACAAAATTGCTAGTTTAGATGATACTTATACCTGTAACAGCAATGGCTAACAAATATAGATGCACAATTTTTTAAATGATGCTCATCTGAGCTGCTATAATCAAATATAAATTAATCGTTAACATAAGTAAATAGAAACAAAGAAAATGTGGTAATAATTATAAACATGATGTTGCACAATATACTTGTATTTTAGATTTAATGCCAAATAATACTTTAAAAAATAATAATGTAAGTTATAAAAAATGAAATTGGTTTTCAAAAAAATTTTTGATACTTAGTTTATTTAAGATGATTTTAAATTTTTGAATGAAATTTTAATAAAACATTTATTTTATTATTAAGTGTTGTTTTTAAATAGGATGTAATGTCATCTGTAAATCTAATGGACATGAGAGGTTCATTTTCGCTAAAAATAGCTGTAGACATGCCTTTTCCCATTCATATAATTTCTTCTCCAACACACAAAATTATGACAAAGGTAAATTCTTTATGTACTTATTACTTAAATTATTAAGTTTAAAATTAAAACTATTATATGATTTATACAAAATTTATGAATTGTATTTCTTTGCAATTCTAGAGAACAGAAACAAAAGCTGTAGTGAAACTTGAAAATTCAATATTAGGTAATGGATTCACATTATGTATAAGTTTGAAAGAAGTCCATGTTCCAAGAATGTGGATTGAAAATAATTCTGAAGAAGACTCACAGGTATGTTAAATAATATGTAATAAATCTTACAAATATCTGTTTTGGTAAATATTAGTGTAATTTTAAATTATAGAAATATGTATTATAATTAAGTAAATATCAGAAATTATTTTTGATTTTATAATCTAAGTGAAGAATACAGAATTTTATAATTAGTCTTGATAATATTAATCCAAAACTATTTATTTCAAATTAGTAAAATGATCAGTCTATTTTTTGTATATGATAAAGTAAATTGTTGATAATGCAAAGATAGAGTAGAAATAAAGGAATATCTCTAAATTGATTTCAGTTTAAAGTTTGTTTATTTTTGTGAACAGTAAGACTGCCTTTTTCATAACCATTATAGATTTGGCCACAGTGAGGGCAGGCATGTGGTGAAGTTCAGGATCAACAAATACAAGAGAGAGAGACTATCTGTGAAAAATTCCTGGGTTTTTTGACTGTCTGGATTTGATCCTCTGATCTCCCAGAGCAATAATTTAACTATCTCAGTCACATAGTTCATAATAGTTTAATCATAAACTTTTGAATGCAAAATATTTATTCATATATTATTATTATCTCTTTTACTTTTGTATTGTAATCATATATTAGTAAACTGTATCATATTTAACTACTTTAGTGTCTACAGTTATGAAGTTAAAGTAATTTGTCTGAAATTTTTCAAATTTCAGTCCTACACATTCCACTCATGTCTCTCTGTCCATCCTCTTAATCTTGAGAACAAAGTTAGATAGATGAAAATCAAAATCAGATATGAAAAGCTAAGGACTATGGGCCCTGATTTATTTATGTATGAACTTCCAGTCAGGACTAAAGTTAATAACTTCAATTAAAAATTACTTTCAAAAATCATATTGATCCCTGGCTATCTGACATGGAATTTTATGGTGATTTTATAAGCCCGTCTTTAATAAAACAGCATTGTGGATGATTTTTAATGCTAATTTTCAATCTTGCATTGATTATGGACTGCCAATTTGGTCAATGGCTGCACCTTCCCTTTTTACGTTTAACAAAATGTGTAATCTGATTTTCACTGTTGACTTTAATATTGCTAGAATTTGCCGGGGCTTCCCATCTTTCTTTGAGAGAATTAAATATTTTGATTGGTTAATATGTTACAAATATTTTAATGGTCTTATTTATCAAGATTGGCTTTCACTCCAAATTCCATCAAGAAAACTTTACTCCTTTATTTACGTTTTTACTCCTTTTTATCATCTAAATCTATCTCAACAATCTTTCTTCTACTGTATATTGCAAAATCTTAATAATTTTGATGAATTTTTACATCTTGACCTCCCTGATTTTAAATTGAAATGTAAAAAAGCTCTGTATCTTTTTTAAGATTTGTTACCTGTTTTTTTTTATTTTATTTATTTTTCTTGTTTTGTTTGTTTTTATGATGTACGTTTTTGTAGGGGGCAGAAATCAAATGTCTATCCAGACTTTTCATGTAAATTTAATGAAATAAATAAATAAAATAAATTTTCTCCACAACAGAGCTAGACCGATGATTAGTATGACACTGTTGTTATCAGGAAAAATATGGTATACAAGAGCAAGAAACTACTACATATATTTTAAACTGAATAAATTAAAAATATGATTAAAATTGCAGCCCAGCATTGTAATGATGTCACAATAATTTTATTCTATATATTTTCTATCTCAAATAATTCATTTTATAAGAGCTTTCATCATAGAAGCAAGTAACAATAGGCCACTTTTTGTAATATATATCAATATTAGATTTTCAGAATTTGGATTTGCTTTTCTATGTATAATTTAATATCATTTTTTGACTGTGGAACCTTGTTATAATTAATTTTTATGATTTTATTTCAGGTAACACAAATATTTATCAATTTATTATTAATATAGATTTTTTTTAAACAGGTTTGCATGTTGACATTTTATCCAGAATTTGAAGCAGTTACAAATCCTCATCCTGAGATAATTATTGCATTAGATGCATCAAATTCTATGCAAGGGAAATTATTTGCAGATGCTTTGAAGACAGCTGTTCTATGTCTCAAAAATCTTCCACACAATTGTTATTTTAATATAGTAGTTTTTGGATCAGGTAATAATGAAAATGATTGTTATAATTCTACATATATTTTATTAAATATCATTATCTTATGCACTTTATTTTGTTCTTATTAGTACAGGTATGTGCCACTTAACATTCTGAAAAAGATGTTATTGAGCAAATTTTATAGAGAAACCTTATATAGTTTAGTCTATTACTCATAAAGGCCATATGTAATACAATTGTGACAATGTGACAATGATTAGATATGTTTAGATACATAAATACTTAACATAAAGATACAATCTGTTACTAATTTTTCAGCTCCATTATAATCTTATGGAACATTTGTTCCTAAAGTAAGTAGTGCATACCTGTATTTAACTACTTTTTTATAGTTAAAATTTAATTGTATAGTTTTAATTATTTTTGAATAAATTTTCAGACTATTTAATGTTAATTCTTTAAGTACAGACATATTGTATATTAATGATTATTTTAATAAAGAGATATATTACATAATCTATAAATTTTTCATCAAGTCTTATCCCAGTCATGACAATAATACTTTAAAAACATTTGACCCATTAACAATGAATATTTTTTTTGTCACAACTACTGTTTTTCTGTTTATTATAAAGATGCAATTATAATGCATTCTTGTTTAGTTTCAATATGTGCATTTTGTAGGCATTGTGTTGTTTTTATTATTATTTTTTTACTTTGCATTTCCAAAAATTTTAAAACTTCAAAAAAAAAAAAAAAGTTGATCTGCTTTTAAAGTTTACAAATTGTATTGAAGTTTTTGTTAAATGTTTAGTTGAAATTCATGCAATATTTTTTTTTTTTGCTTTTTTTGAATATTTTCTTTTCTGTAGGACTGTTCTAAATATGTTAATAATAGTAATAATATTTCACTAATCTCTAATATGGAAAAATCCACAGTGTACAATGGAAATCATTTTGTATCATCTACTATCGGGAAATTTCAAAAATTTAATCCAGATTAAGTCATTTGAATTTTTCTTGAACAGTTGTAATTGTGTCCATATTTTACCATTCCAGATGATCTCATTACAAAAGTACCGTAAAGTGTCGTTTATCTGAATCAATCGGGGACTGGGGTTGTTCGGATAACTTATTTTTCGGATAACCGATTATGTACGAAAAAATATATTAACCTATCCCATCCTGAAATTTTTCTCCATTGCGTGTCACTTTGCATTGAATTTTTGTCGATGTTAAGCCTAATGTAAACTTTTTAAAATAATAATCGTGGCTATTGTATCATTAAAAATTATTTCTTTATTTTGTACAAACAAAATAAATATATTGAAAAATATAAAAACAATAAAAAATTATACTTCAGAAGTTAATTTAGTATGAAAAACGTAAAATATTTGAGTAGCCCAAGACATAGCCAAAGATTGCAGTGCCACAACACTAGTGGAAATTTAAATTTGCCAACTGGAATTTTTTCGGATAACCGACTTTCGGATAAATGACGCTCCACTGTAAATAAACTCTTAATGTTGAAAAAAGTCATTCATACAAATAAATTGCAAGAATTTAAAAGATTTAAATGAAAAACAAAATCTCTACTGTTTTTAAATCATAATTTATTTATCAAAGAAATTAGCCCACTAGTGATCTAACATGTAGTTGGTTATGGGTTTGCACCTGCAGTTGGTAACTGTCTTTTATTTGGGTGGCTAGTCCTCCAATGAACTGTATTGTCCTCTAGTCCTCCATTTATCAATAATGTTTTTCTTTTAAGTATATGCTTAATTGTTTGTTTTTGTTTAATTTTACTTTATATTACTGGCAGACAACATTCCAATATTTTATTTTCTTACTTTAAAGTAATAGTTTCATCTTTATCACTCAACAGAAAGAGAAAGACACTACTATTAATTACAGTCAGACAAGAAAATAAAATTGAGGGACTTAGTTAGGGTGGCATTGTGCAACAGTTAATAATAATTTTAACATTGATTTTAAAACCCTACTTATAGTCTATTTACTATTTTATGATTTATAGTCAGTCAATAAATATTTGCTGGCTAACAAATGTCCTTTATAATCCTTTAACAATATCTGTGCAATATCCTCTTGTTTAATATAAGAAAGTTGGATACCCTATTCACATTTTACCAACATTCTGGCCATGTGGAGTTTTCTAGGTTTTCTTTACATGTGTAACACTTAAATAGAGGCCAGTTTTCTGTAGAAAATTGGGGGCATCCCTTGACAGATCACTTGTGTTGCATTGTCTTATTTCATCAATCCAGTTTAATCAGAGAAATTATTCATGCTTCCATTATTTTTTATTACCTTTCATTAGACGTCTTTGGTTTGGTTTATTTTGTAATTTTTACTTTTCTAGCTCTGTTATATATAAAAAAGGGAAAGTATGGTTATCAGTCAAAATGACCCCTAAGATTTTTACATTTTTGGACTCAGGACACCTTGAAATATCAAGAAATGCAAAAAAATTTTGGATGTTTTCCTGTATGTATGGATGTTTGTGTGGGGGACTAATTTTTTTTCACCTTCTATGAAGCTCAATAACTCCTGTGCTTTTTGTCGAAAATTTCTGAAATTTGCAGGGAGGTTCATGCATTGGGGATTGATGCTATTAAATTTTTGTGGTTAAAGGTTGACAGGATAGAGAGATAAAAGCGGTTGTGTTTATCTCCAGTAGGATCAGACTTAATGACGATTTTATTTGTTATTATCATTTACAATTTTTTATAAAAACCTGTCCCCACCCTCAAAATTAAGCTTTTTTGCAATTTTACAATAATTAAAAATATAAAAGTTTTCTAATAAAATATAACATATGGCACCATCAAAATTTTAAATGTTGCTGGATTTTTATTTAATTAAATAATAAAAGTAATACAATACTAAAATTTGATTTACCAGAAGTCTTATATTCTTTATTTTTATATTTAAATATTATTTCTTTTTGATAGTGTTTCATGAGTTATTTCCATCAAGTCAAATATGCAATTCAAAAAATGTGCAAAAAGCTATGAATTTCCTGAAACAGGTTACATTATTAGGTAATACAGAATTTTCAAGAGTTTTAAAATATTATCAATTAACTGCTGGAAAAGGCATAAAGAATATAATTCTTTTGAGTGATGGTGATGTTAATAATGAAAGGATAATATTTAAAAGTATCAAATCTTATAGCAACAAAGTGAGGATATTTACAATAGGTTTAAGGTAAGAACTATTTGAAATTTTATCATCATTGTAAGTAATGTGAAATTTTTTATATTATTATACTACTAACTCTTTGCTGTTTTTTATAGTTCAACTACTTATATCAACAAACATACATTGCAACAAATTGCTAATAAAAGTGGAGGTGTGTACGAATGTTTAGATACTTTAAATTTAGAAAACTGGAAGAATATGGTAAATATAATATTTGGCATAAAGAAAATCTGAATTTATTAATCTTAATATTTATGATTTATTTTGTTATTTTTAAAATTTGTGAAAAGAATAATTAAATTATTAACTTTGATCATTTAGGTAAGATATTTTACTTTAATTCAGAGTAGTATTGTTCATTCTATTACTATGAATTACAATAAAGATATGAATTTATGTGAAAGCAAATTGAATGAGTTGCCTTATGATTAGTTATTAAGTAAATAATGATTATTAACATTTGGTTATTAAATATTAATTAAATTTACTCACAGCTTATCTTCAATTGTTAAAGTTTCTTTAACTTAAAGTTGATTTATTTCTGTTATACAGCATTAAAGAATATAAAAGTAATATTATACTGTGTGAAGTAATTATATTCAATCAGATTCAAAAATGGTTTGCAGTAATCTAGTTAATAATAATATGTTTTCTGCTTGTTCATAATTTGTTTTCATTGAGAGACAACATTCACTTGTATCTTTAGATTCATTAAAACTTTAAATAACTTTAATGAAAAATATTTATTTATGTAGAACTTTAAAACAATCAATTTTAATATATATTCAAAAATTAATATGTATTTATAACTACATTTGATAATTATAAAATTTACTGTTCTTTTTATAACAATCTATGAATATATTTTAACATTTTAACTGATTTTACAATTTTTATGTTTGAAGTTACTTTCAAAATTAATTCTGAATTTAATGTTTATTTTTAATCTATAAATCAATTTAATACAGTCAAATGTCTAATAATGGACATTTTTTGTGTTTTCATCAGTGGATGTTATTCAGAGGTTTGATTGTATTAAATTATAAAATTTTATATTTTTATATATTATAAAATTATAAAAAAGGAATATTGTAAAATGAATGATATGAAATACCACATTCCAAAATATTAGTTAAAGTATGTTTAACTGTCTTATGGTGTTAAAAATTATTGAATACACTTAAATATTATCACTATAATTTTACAACTTTTCATTGAGTTATCATCTTCAATCAACTAGAACAAAAATGGAGTAAGAGCATCGGGATGTAAATACAAAAGATGTTAGATTTTTTTTGGAACATGCATTTAGAATAACAATTTTAAATTTAAAATAATTAAAACAATATAAAAATATGTATATAAAATTTTATATTTGCTATATTGTGAACAAACCAAATTTATTATTCTGATCACTTTTTGTCTGTTGTCTTGTTTTGTATTACATTTTGTGCTAGCTCACTTTTCCCAAAGATGGACTTATCACACTGGATTAAACACTGAACAGAATGACCTCAAGACGCGTAATTTGCAGAGTAATTCTGTGTATTTACTTTACAAATTATATTTTGGACATGACAGGTTCATCTTCAGTCTTAATGCATAGATCCTTTTTTAGGATTTGTAGGAATATGTATAGATACTAGTAATTTCATAATAAAAACCTCACATGTACACACATGTGACAAAACTTCATCAAACAAGATCAGTTTAAACAGAGCATAAAACTTGAATGAAAATTTGTACAATTCAATATAACCTCCAGAAAAATTGATGAAATCATAATGTATTTATAGTACCTATATACTCTAATAGAATTTACAAAATACCCATCTGAAACATCCCTCACACACCTACATTCTATATAAGTTGCAAGATTTTTATTATGAAATTACTAGTGTATAAATATGCTTACAAATCATAGAAAAATCAGTAAAATACATAGAATTAATCTGCAAATTACATGTCTTGGCATCATTCTGTTCTGTGATTAATCCAGTGTAATTAGTCCATTGTTGGGAAAAATGCTCTAGCAAAAATCATACAAATCCAATTTACTTGAAAAGTTTAATAAGAGTGGTCCAATGGTTGAAAAGACTCGCTGTCAAATGATTGTGATTGTTTTAAAATATGAAGTTTCCTAAATGTGTACTATTTTGGAGTTCCTGCATACAAGTAACAATTTCAAAGCATGTCAAATGGGCTCAAAGGAACTTGATATAATACACCTAATTCTGTTGTTTGGCATGTATGATGTCTTTTTGATAATCAGATGTATGAGTAGCTAGCATTCTAGTGATTTCTGTATGAACATTTTTTTTTTTTAATAATATATATAAATGTAAATCTCAACTGTTTTCAAATATTAATGACTCTATAAGATATCGTTAAGATAAAATGAAATTAAAGATAAAATTCATTTTACTTGCATCATCTACTGATAAATATTTTATTTATTAAATTACATTTATTTGACATATAATTGATAAAAAAGGAGTATGAAGAGTGAAATTAAAATATATAGCAATTATAACTAGATATGATTTTGTAGAATTAAAGGATGTTTTTTGATAATACATGAGATTATTTGGTCTGTACGATTGTTCTACTAATCTTCTAGAATATTGGTTTTTAGAATTTGGTTTAGAATATCTCTGTTTTATTACTTTTTTTATTAATTTAACATTAATAATAAAATGTATTAATTTTAAGGTACAAAAACAAATTATGAGAACAACTCAAGCATCTCTAACAAATGTAAGAATTGAATGGCAGAACAGTTATGATGGAAATGAAGTAGTGATTCAGACACCTAAACAAATAATGAGTATATTCAATGGATGTAGGCAAATTATTTATGGATTTTGTCCAGAAGGTGTTAGTTTTGTAAGTATATTTATGAATTAAATACATGATTTTAAAATGTTATGTTTTATTTATCTAGAATATTACTTTTATAATAAATAAATAATAATAAATAACAACACAAACACATTCACCAGCTCACTCAAACACAATGATAACACACCAAACCAGCCAACATGCTTCAGTGACAATCCAGCCACTGATCACTAAGGCTGAAAAACAAACCATAACAACAGATGAAATGGACACAAGAAATGGATGAATTCATCATTTATATCTACTATAATATTACAAAACTCAAAACAGACATGATAGCATACAGACAGACAAATGTGACAAATTCACACAAAGATACTCAACCTCATTGTTACAGAGCAGAGGATTGTTGATCAGAAAAGAACAATTGTACACAACATCCTTATTTCATAAACAATGCTTGAACATATCAAACATTAAGTTGCACAGCAGTTACATCAATGTACAGAACATTAGATCATCAGAAGATCAGACACTTACTACTTCAAAAACAGTTACACATGAATACATGTACTGCACAACATGTATCAATAAAAACATAAAAACAACAATTGTGACTAATGAAACTATGTACACAGAATTAATTTAAAATACTCATAATTTTATTTTAAGAAATATTTATGAAATTACAGGTTTAAATACCACAGAAAGCACAAATGAATGTAACTTAATGAATATAATATTTGTCAGTGCAGGATGATACAAGTAAGATGAATTCTATCTTTAATTTCTTGTATAGATGTCATATCACATATAATATATGTCTTGAAACACTGTGTCTTCACAACAGACATACATCATTCTACAAAAAGCTACCATACTTAACATATGTCATATAATGAGAAAATTCTTAACACAGATACATGTACAAACAGCATGTAAATGAAACATTTGTTTTCTGTAGTTGTCTTGACTTTGGTTTAGCATAATACTAGGCACTGATATTTACACATATAGGGTATACTCCACTAACACAATAATAATAGTAATAATCTTTAGCACAACAATGTGTGCCTATTCCAAGTTTATATGTTGAACTAAAATATTTAAATTTATTACTTTTGTAATTTTATACTTTTTCACAGTGCAAAAAAAAACTATAAAATTTATTTTCTAGGTAAAGTTGAAGGCAGACATTGAAGGACAAGAATTTGAAACAGTATTATATGCCTCTGAATTAAATGCCACTGAAGGAATTGTAAGTCTAAATACTTTTCAATTATTGGGTGAATTTAAAATGTGTTTGTTTGCTAATTCTTAAACTGAATGAATTTACGCTCTAGATTCAAATGTTAATATATTTCAACATAATTAATAACATACAAACAGAAAAGAAAGATTACTAATATTATCTTATTAGAAATATTCAATTAAAGTATGTATTTTTATACTTTACAATTTTTATTATAGATGTTACATAAATTAGCTGCTCGATCCATTATTCGAGATTGGGAAGATGGTCTACTTGCTGATGACAGAGTTGATCAATTGCTAGAAAAAAAATCCAATAGAGAGAAAATAATTGAATTTAGTAAACAATTTAACTTGGTTACATCTCTTACTAGTTTTATTGCTGTTGAGAAAAGAACAGAAGTCAGTGAATTTAAAATAAAAATTTCTTGTAATTTAGATTTTTTATGATCTAATTTTTAACTTATTTCTAGGAAGAAGATTCTTCGTCATTTGATGGTTCCATTCTAAAATTTAATTTATTGGAAGAGATTGATGTTGATAACCTACTGTATATGAGTTTTGAAGATGAAAATGAAATGGCTATTACTCCTAAATCTGAAGGTTAGTTAAGTATACCATATGTAAAAACTAGACATTAATTTAATATTTAAATAATTTTGAATTAAAGACAGGTCAGTATAAGATAGTAGCTCCTTATTTTTGATACTGGAAATTGCCAATTTTGATATTTAATAAGTTTGTAATGAATAGATTTACATCCAAATAAATTATAATATAAAGTTTGTAAGAGTAAATATCAAGCATATTTTTAAAAATAGTTTTATAAACTTTATATTATAAATCTGAAATGAGAAACATTATCTGAAATATAATTAAAATGATGATGCAATATTTTAATTTTTGTTAATGATGAAAAAGTGTTGGAAGGAAATGTTATCAATTTTTTAAAACAGTATTTGTATGAGAAGTAAAATATTGAATGTAATTACCAAGAATTTTGATATAAATGGATAAATGCTCTTAGAGACAGTTAAAAAGAAAAACAAACCAGAAGTTATTTTTGAAACTAAACATGAATATTAGCAACTCTAAAATCCTGTAATGCAGTAATTTTTTATAATATGTGCAAACGTTTTTGCCTGCATTGAACAGGCATCATCAGGCAAACTAATCCCCAGCTGCTGAAACAATATAGGATTGCCATACACATGTGCAGAGGGGAGGTGATGTAAGATGAGAGAAAGAGGAAGGAGAGTAGTAAGATTTATAGTTTGAAGAAAGATTTCCATGCTGTGGGGAAGGATTCAATGTTGTGAAAATTAATAGCGGTGTTATTATGGGTGGCCTTACATATTGCCACCTGCTCAAGATGTTTGCACATATAAAAAAAATTGCTGGATTATAGGTTTTTAGAGTTTTTAATTCAAGTATATACCCAGTTTTGAATTAGTATTATAAACATGAATATCTGAATACAAAATAAATCTAAACATCTCTTAAGCAGTAATTTTTAATCTTATAATAAAGATTTGATATTAAAATTTAATAAAATATATACATGTATAAAGTAAGATTGTGAGGATTGTAACTTGGACACTTTTCAAAAGTAGAATTTAGTAATTAGGTTACTTATGAAAAAATAAGCAAGACAATTTCTGACACATTAATTTTTCAGTAGAATAGCTATAAATATTAATACACTTGTCCCAGCATTTCACCAGCTTTTGAAATTTTGACACATAAAAGTCTGTTAATTGCTGGCAGAATCACTGTAGTACATGTTCTTGAATCTCTTCATCACTTGAAAAATATTCTCCATCTAAATGTTCTTCTAAGGTCCAAAAAAAGGATCTTGAAGCCCAGATATGAAACTGATTGATTACCATTTTTTTAGACATTTAAAAAACACTTGGTAGATGAATCTTTTTCAAGCAGAGATGTGATAAAAGTAAGATACACTGCAGTATGACTGTGACAGCAATTAAGACTTTTGCAGATCAGTTAAGCAGAATTTTGGGACACATTTGAATGTGGTGATAAGTGTTTGTAATCTTATTACTGACTTCTCATATAATAAATTTGGTGATTAATATTTTTTAGGGAACATGAGATTTAACAATTGCAAGTATATATATACTCGCAGTACTTTAAATGGCAATATTAATTTCTTTTTATATTTACATATAAGCTTCATAGATTTTTGCCTTGGTCAATAACAATTTTTGATGATAAATATTTTTAAAAATATAGATNATGTATAATTTAATATCATTTTTTGACTGTGGAACCTTGTTATAATTAATTTTTATGATTTTATTTCAGGTAACACAAATATTTATCAATTTATTATTAATATAGATTTTTTTTAAACAGGTTTGCATGTTGACATTTTATCCAGAATTTGAAGCAGTTACAAATCCTCATCCTGAGATAATTATTGCATTAGATGCATCAAATTCTATGCAAGGGAAATTATTTGCAGATGCTTTGAAGACAGCTGTTCTATGTCTCAAAAATCTTCCACACAATTGTTATTTTAATATAGTAGTTTTTGGATCAGGTAATAATGAAAATGATTGTTATAATTCTACATATATTTTATTAAATATCATTATCTTATGCACTTTATTTTGTTCTTATTAGTACAGGTATGTGCCACTTAACATTCTGAAAAAGATGTTATTGAGCAAATTTTATAGAGAAACCTTATATAGTTTAGTCTATTACTCATAAAGGCCATATGTAATACAATTATAACAATGGTATGTGTCTAAATATATCAAAATACAAAATATTTGGGTGGATATGAATTTTTCAGCTCTGTTAAATCTTATGGGACCTCAGTAATATGAATATTGGGATTTAAATTTCCACTTATTCTCTGATTAAACTTTTATAATATTAATAATAATTTTTTTTTAATTCATCTTAAACTATAACATGTGACATTGGTTATGGAGAACTTTTGCACTTACTGAATAATAACTATTTCACGTTTTTACAGAATTTTTCATTTCTTGAAACTGTGGGCAAGGTCTAAACATATCTCTTAATTTGCATGTTTTTGCCTTTTATGATTGAGACTGTAGTTTAAGTCAATAACTGAATTAATGAGCCTAAGCAGTAAAACATATCAAAGTCACATTTGTACAAAATGTAATGCAATAATTTCATATTTTTATAGCTCAAATTGAAAATGTTTGTTGTAAGGTTTGTGGTGATGAGTCATCAGGTATGCATTACGGTGTTATAGTATGCGAGAGTTGTAAGGTATGTATTGATGTAGAGTAATTTCAAGTTCATTTGAACACAATATTATTTAATTTATGTGATATATTAATAATAAAGCTGTAAATTCAGGAGTATTTTTTAAGAATAATTCAACAAGAGCATTCTCTAGATTTTTTAATTTAAATTAATTTGTTATTATTTTGTTTTGTTAGCAAAATATGTTACCTTATCTACCATATCTATAATTGAGGTGGAGCATTAGCAAAGCCTCTTCTATGTGGCTTTGATATGTGGATTTTGATAAAATTTTGCCATTTTCCATTTATTGTGATGAGGAATTTAAAAATGTTACAAAAGTGGGGATCCATGACTTTCTTTCTCATGTGTGACAGAGCAATATCACAAAAATTACATGACTTTGTCGGGTGATGCCCCATGGTTGGTAGCACATCATCTATGGACTTATAGAATTGAGCTTGTTCTCAAAATCTGATGGCATAGTTTTGTCAAAATTGTCCCATTTTTCATTAATTGTAATGAGGATCTATTTAAATGCAAAAAATAGGTGTCTATGACTTTATTTTCAATATACAATGGGATCGATGTGACAATGTGCTCCCTGTTGCAATTGAGCACATCTAATGGATTTTAGGGGAAAAAAATAAAAAAACAGTATTATGTGCACCTAACAAAAAATAGACATGAAAAACAAAACATTCTTAAGAACAAAGCAGTTGCCATAGATTGCCACTTTGTGTCAGCAAGTGCAAGGATTGTCTCTCCATACCTGGCCAGTGCAAGGATCATCTCTCCCATGACCGGCAGGTATAAGGTTAGTTTCTTTGTGGTGACAAATGTGAACACATGACCTTTGCACTTATCAGGTACAAGGATCACCTCTTCTGTGCCTAATAAGTGCAGGAATCGCTTCTTTCTTTCTGGCTCCACCTCAATTCTTTTATGATACAACAAAGTTATGCAATATCCTAGTATCATATTATATATATACAGCTGACTATCCACATGAGGAATTTAAATGCTTTTGGCACTGTGCACAAATGATTTAAAATAAATGAATATCTAAATCATGATTTAGATACTTGAGCTAGATGTCCTTTTTCATCACATGAATCAGATGCAGCCAATTGATGAGTAATTATCGTCGAGTGGTTTCATATCATATTCTACAAAATGGCTCGGTGCATAGATGCTGCAACTGAGAAATTAATACTGGTTTACAATTTTCCTGAAACATGTGATAAAAGGGATGGAAAAAATAAAGATGAAAAGTGATAAAAATAATAAATTGATGTTTTGCTTTTGTTCCTTGTTTTTCTACAACAGGTGTGATCTTAGCAACACATGTGTCACTAAGATTGTTTTCACCATCATTCATCTTTGATTTATTCTCTGTTCCTTCTACCAGTCAATGTATAAATGAAGTGTAGTGGATATTGGTGATGTGGTTTGCATGGACGTCACATGATTATATGCTGACTTGATGTGATGAAATCGCTCATGTTGATACCCAGCTTAACATTATCTGTTCCATACTTTTATATATAGTTACATAATATATAAAAATTAATCATGTTAATGTGATTAGTTAAACTCTTTAATATTAAAGTTTTCCTTTAGGGTTTCTTCAGGAGGAGCCAATCTAAACAAGTAAATTATTATTGCATGGAACAGAAAAATTGTATTGTTGATAAAGTAAACAGAAATAGGTGTCAGTATTGCCGCTTACAGAAATGTCTAGCACTCGGAATGATCAGAGATGGTGAGTTAGCTTCAGACGTATCTCTTGTCTAATGAAATTATTAAAAGACGAAAATAGGTTTGTATTAACCTTGAGAAGACAACTGTAGTGGTTTTGAAGAAAATTTTGGAATCTTGTGGTTCTTTGTTAGTGGAGGTTTTAAATGCAGACATTTTAATGTGAAACAAGAAGAACCAGATTCACATATGAATTAAACAAGTTATGCCCTTGACCTTTCATTATTAGGTTACAGTTTTAAGGCTTCAAACTTTTAAATTTATTGTTGCTTAGTGAGTGGGGTAAAGGGCTTCCTATGTGTTATAAGTTAGGACCAAAGCAAGTCTAAATTTAGCTGTAGCTGTATTGATTTATAATTTAAAATATAGTCATTGACACATGTCCAAATAATTAAACATATGAGAGAGATCCAGTAATCTAATGTAAATTATATTGCCAAAATCATCAAAGATGGTAAAAGTTAACTACAAGTTACAGAAAATAAGCTCTTCTAATTATATCAAGTATAAACTCAATATATCAAGTCAAATGGAAATTGAATTTCCTCCAAATATTAAATACATTTAAGTTATTTCATCTTAAAATAAATAGAGTATGGTTAATATTATTTTCTTAATAATGTATTAAATTTATTTATGTTAATGGACAATTGAAACATTTTACATTAAAGTAAAAGTTACGCAACATTATATTGCAACAGAATACATTGCATCAAAGCATAATTCTGAGTAATTTAACTTTTGGTACATAAAGTGTTTTGTATACTGAATTAAGTTAATTAAATGTTTTTGATTTTAATTATTTATAACTATAAATAATTACAAATGAAACTAAAGGCTGGTTTGATGCAATTAAAATAAACATAATATATTTTTAGCTATAAATTTTAAATTAGCAATGAAGAAGGGTGTGGCTTATTTAATTTATGTAAAAATAGAAAAATTTTAATGGATTAGATTGTAGAAGAATGATTTAGTACAGTGGATATGAATTGATGTGCCATAAACTTATTGTACATATACTATAAATATTCAGAAATTCATTTTAAAATGCTGATTTTCTGTTTATATTTTAATATTATTTGCTTATTTTTATGCAAAAATACTGTAGATCTTTAACATTGCATTTCGTTCATATAAAAGCATCTTTAGTGGTACACCGACATGCCAGTGTGCAACCAACTTGTGCACACACGGCTAGATGAAGGAGGTTGAGAACAATGTTAAAAATATAATTCTTTTGACAAGTTGTTAAAATTAAACTTAAATTACAAAGCAAGTTATGTCATTGGAGTATTTATTAGCATTTTACTCTTCTAATATAATAGTTTTCATTTACATGAAAGTTATGCATATTATTTTTTAATATTTATTCTCAGTATCAATAAATAAAAAGAAAATACAGGGTACGTTGTAATAATAATCTTTTATAGTAAAATCTTTAAATGCAATTTTTGTTAGAAGTCAATGTAAAATAGTTCATCCTTATGCAATGACACAATTCTTCATTATACACTGAATACCATACACTATACATTTAAAGAAGCTAATCTTTGATGACGATTGGTTTATTTATATGATAAATATCATTCTATAGTTGATTGATTTGGCAACAAGACATTTGTCTTGCAAAAAAACATTTTGCAAGACAAATGTCTTGTTGCCAAATCAGTCATAAGTGTTAAAGGCTGACTTCTTTATATAATGATCAGTGTTCAACCTACAAAGTAAGTAGAGATGCTTCAATATATTATCTTTGTTTCTTAGAAAATAAATTTCTATTTATTTATGAGGTTTTTGATTTATGATAGGCTTTTGGGAAAAAAGTATGCTTGTAAATCAGGGTTGCACTGTAATTCAATCAAAACATACACACAACTTTAAGTTCGGCATATACCAATTCATGAAATTATAGAGTTCTTTTAATTATTATAACAACAACAATCTTTTTGTAATTCTACAGATACATTGGACAGAAATTTTCATAACAGTCAATTTAAATAATTCATAATACATTTGCTCAATAGACAATATAAATATAGAAAGGTGGATGCATTATGTGAGAATGAATTTTGTATTTGAGCTTAAAATATTTTTAGATTAAAAGACAAAAACATAGAAGTTATGTATATATTTAATTGCAAATGTTTTTGGCATACATTATGCCATTCTCTAGCCAACATACATACAGAACAGAATTGAAGTTTAAAATCAAAATGTTTTTTTTTTTCTAACAGAATAGAATTTAACATCGAGTAGAATATAATTCAAAATTAAAAGTTAAGAACAAAAATTCTCTCTTGCCATCTGCCATCTCTCTTGTTGTCTGCAATGAGACAGCCAGGTGGTGGGGGATGAGGTCCAACATATCTGGGACAGACTACCCTCAAAAAATTCCCAGGGGTTTCTCGACTTGCCCAGATTTATTTCTGGGTCCACCAGAATGATATGCCAATGTCTTAATCGCTAGGCAATCTGGCAGTCACATTTAAGAGGTTTGTTCACTATATTTCCAAAGGTTTTGAAATAAAAATCAATGAAAATATTCAAATTTTGCTTACTTTATTATTTCGTTTACAATATAACATTTGAAAAATAAATTATGTACTGCAAAATTAACTTAGTGTGTGTACAGCAGTTCTCCAAATTGGAACATTAAAAATAAATGTATATGACTAATATTAAGTGATTGTATTATTTAATGCTAAGTAATTGAAGTTGTTATAAATCCTCAAAATATTTTTGTTCAAACAAATTTTAGTTTGAAAATATCAGCAACTTCTATAAGACTTAATGTTATTTTCAAACTGTTGAGAAGAAAATGTGGCTACTTTAAAGAAAGTTTAAGTAAAGTAGAAACATTTTTGGATCTAGATTTAGATTGCAATGGAATTGGATTATAATTTTATTTTAAATTAATTACTCAAAAATCCATTTATTTATTGTATGTTAGCTAATTGGAGAAATCCATCAGCAATCAAATAAAACAAGAAATAAAGTTTGAAAAAAATCAGGTTTAAATGGCAGTTACAATGTATAGGTTATACATGCTGTCTGGTAGCTACCACCCCTGTCACATTACATGATGTTCATTTTTAGTCATATGATGATTCCCATGCTTTATAGAAAGTTTCTGATTAGTTTGATAAGTGTAATTATTTTATGTAACAGAAAATTAATAATTCAGAATTTATGAAAGTACCATATCAAACCCTGTTTGCATTAACTAGTTTGATTTAACATGTAAATTCATATACTAGATGTGTGGGAAAAGAAAATGACATTTCACTGTATATTATTTCACAATTTTTGTTGGCATCTCTCATGAATTTTTTAGCAAATTATAATTTTATTCTTGACTCTAGTTGTATATATTTAATTTTTGTAGGATTATTGCTTTACTTATTCACATTCTTTATGTAATTTTCAGGTATGAATTATATGAAGAAAGTCTGGAAGATCGCCATAATGATGGATTATCAGAAACTGTATCAAATACCATAGAATCAGAAAATTTGACAGATGTGGTTTCATCTGCAAGAACAGATCATGGCACAATAGCCACTCACAATCTTCACGTTGGCCAAGTCGAAGGCGTCATTACCACAGCTCCATCTGTTCAAGTTATACCACAATTAGCATGTCCACCTGTCACTTATACATTAGCATATCCAACAGCACCATATGGTTATATGCAAAGTGTAACTCCATTTCCACATTCACCAATGCCTTTACATGCAGCTTATGTTCCATCTCCGGCAGCATATCCATATGGTGCTCTTACTAATTTATCTTATTATACTCCAAGTGCTACAAGTACAACTCATCTTCGTCATTCTACACCTGGATTATATACCAACCAAGTAGTTGGAGTTCCGGTATCTAGAGCTCAATCTGTTTTACCTCTGGGTGGTCATGCTGTTATGGCTACACAATCGCCACCAACTCCAGCAATACCATCTCAACAACAACAGGTATGACTTTTAGTTTGTTTAAGCTAATTTTATCTTTTGATAAATATTAAATATATAATTTATATAAATTTTATATTATTATATTGATATAATAAGATTAAATGTAAATAAGTGTGTGTGTGTGTGTGTAAACATTGTATAATAATGTATATGGTTATCATTTGGCCAATTTTGCTGTGGCCCTCAGCACAAGTAGGCATGCACAAACTAAATTTGGTTTATTTGTAAAATAGAGGTTGGGCTTTTTCAAACATGGAAGGGAATATTTATGTAGAAGGGCTGTTTTTGAAAGAAGAAAATACTTTTTAAGTGGTACATCTTTTCCAGGAAAATTGATCTTTTGTTTTAAGACAGGTAGTAATTTAGAAATTGACTGGACTTTCTTCTCTTTGACATAGAAACCATGGGTATTTCTCTAATCATATCACAATCAATGCTATCTAATACCATTGTTTCCAGAATGTTTCTCTTTGAATGCTTTATTGGTGAAGTAAAATTTTGCTCTTCTACTGTCTGCTTTTCAGCAAATCTTTTTTATTGTTGACAATGATACTCCAGCAATCTGATTTTCATGCTTTGTAGAATGAGCAACAGGATGATAAAATTATCATTTTTAGCTTCTCTATCACAGAATTGAAGACATGCAAAATTTTTCATTCTGCAGTGAAAGGATTTGTTATAAGATGGTAAAACAAAACACAAAAGAATATGAAAAGATAAAGTAAATTTCTTACTAAATTTACTACTAAAATAAATGAGCTTGTGTAGCCTTTCACCATATTGTGATCAGATAAACAATTGTTACTTAGGTTAATATTAGGATGTCTGATTCTGATCAGTTTTTTCTTCAGGAGAACTGACAAACTTGAAACACACATGGGGATATTAACTCTTTTTTGTGGGAAAGTGTATGACTGTTAGAGAAAGGGGAGACATGTGACTAACCTTTGAATTTCTCTTTTAAAACAAGTTTATTTACATGAGGAGTTATATATATTTTACATTGTGTCTTTATTGGTGCATAACATGTGAGTGCATCCCCAAAAGCAGTTAATAGATGATCAGCACAACTCTATAGTTAAAGGGAAAGTATGATGTACAGGGGCAAAATACTACTAATTTGAAGTGGAGAACATATATTTTAAATTAAATTAATTAAAAATATGATTAAAAATTGCAGCCTGGCATTGTGACAATCTCACAATAAATAATTACTCATTCTGTTAGGAGATGATTCAGCATATGATGAGAGGACTTGTTCTAATCATTAAATTTATCTTGATTAGTCACTTAACTCTCTGGGTTAGTTCATGGAGAGGAGTAGCAACAATAGAGATGACTCTCTATCATTGCTGCTTGTTGCTTATCTGAATGTTCAGACATGACACTCTTACTTGTCTCTGCCCTTGACTCAGATTTCTCAAAGATCTCCCTCTCCAATACTACATGTAAGCTATTATTGTGGACAGTTGATTTGCTTTCTCATCTTCTTCTCTGATTACATTTATTGTTTCAACACAGTCAATAGAGTCCAATTACTTACATTTATATTTTTGCAGTTAGAGTTCCATTTGATGTGACATAAAATCTTTTTCTATTTTATACTTGATTATGTATCAGGGACAGAATCTCCTAAAAAAGGCCTGTAGTTTTTAATTAATCTGGATTTACTTCCAGATTTTCCAGAACTGTAGTCTGAAAGCTTATTCCTACAGCTTTCAATCAAGGTGCACACACTTAGGGGGTGTACCACAAAATGTATTGATGGAAAAAAAGGCGATACAACACATGGATGATCTGCCAAGGGGAAGGATGTCTCCTGAGAGAACTTTTTTGGGGGAAACTGGCCTGTATTAGTTGTTAGACATTTGAAGAAACCCAAGAAAATGCCACGTGGCCAGCTTATTGGTGAGATGCAAACCCATGACCAATTACCCATGTTCACTGGTGTAATTCATTCATCCATTGGTGGATCTTGCAATGCAAAATATAATGTTGAGAAGTGTGAGTGCAATAACACTTCTTACATATATTACTAAAAGTACTAAAACAACAAGAACTCTATATTGATAAAGATGTAGGGGTGTAGCAAAAAAAATTATAAAGTTGAATTGCCACTATTAGGAAAAGGTTGGAAAATGCTGTCTTAATCTTTTGACTATCCAGCCATTCATTTCTATTTCTTGGAAGTTTCATCATGCATAATACAACTAAGAAAGTAAAGCCTGGACCTATTTAGGCTTATATTAAGTAAGCAAGTATAGCTTGCCACTAACTGTGATAAAATTCAAGTTGAAATAATGTTTACAATTAGAAATTTGTACAGGGTAGGAATGTTAATAATTTTCTTGATTGAAAATAGTTAATATTTCTGCTCTGTATTTTCTAAGCCACTACAAAATGCCACCATATGGTTAACATTACAGAATATGATATCAAAAAATTGAAAAGATCATAAAGTATAAAAAGTAAGCAAATTTAATTAATGATGATGATAAATAATAATTATAATACAATACAAATATTTGGCAGAAACAGTTAAAACTACTATTTTCTAATAACAACTGCAGATAGAAGTGGCACCATACAACTAATATTGGCATGACATTAACCAGCGATTGACACTTGGAAGACTAAAAATATAAACTGCTGTAAGGAAACAAAACATAGATGATTATCAGTTGTTTCAGCAATGTAAACTTCACTTTAAGATTAAAATCAAAAGGTTTTGTGTCTGTTGACTTCCATAAACAAATATTTTAAAATTGTTCTTGAAATTTTAACATTTCAACAATAGAACGATTTAACTTTAAAAGAATTATCTGAAAATTTGCTATTATGTTTTCATAATAGATACATTAAATATCTTGGTGCTAAATTACACTTTTTTAAAGAATTTGCTGAATGTTCAGCAACTTTTGAAAATGTTCTTTTTTTCCGGTTTTGTTTGTATTTTCAATAAGATTAGCATCTGCTTATTTCTTTAAACTGCTTGCCATTGATTTGATCATTGTCTTCATTTTTAAATGGAAATGATAAAGAAATAATAAAATTTATTCAGTTTCTACACAAAAACTAGATGAATTAATAATTTTTATGCAGTTTTTACATGAAATTATTTCTAAAAATTCTAGTTTCAGTACTTAGACAAATTTTGATAATTTTATTATGTAACTAGCTGAGATATCTGGCTTCAATTGGAAAAATGATATATTAAGTAAAGGCAATATACTCATATAAAAATGTATATATGAAAAAGGAATATGTGCTTATAATAGAACCAATTAAAAACAATCTTACATCAAAATTTACCCTAAATACATTCTATAGCCTGAGAAGGATTCAGCCATTCTCATGTGATAGATAGACAGACAGGTATGAATTCAAAAGTAGCCTGTATCCTTTTCAGGACTATCCTGATATATATATGAATGTTTATACAAATTGGTTCAACTGTTCATGTGATACTTGAACAAATGGACAGAAAAAAAGATGGACATGAATTCAATTTTATATATATATATATTGTTTGCTTTAAATACATGTTAGCTTCACTTTGGAATTCATTTAAAATGGTAATATATTAAATAAAGATTCATTAATTACAATAATATTTACAAATATAAGACAATAAACTTATAACTGAAAAGTTTGTTATTCTATTAAATGCTGTTTGCATTGTTTTTACATAATATTAATTTAACTTGTTTTATGGTTTATTAATTTAGTCTACTTTGTAATAGAAAATAAAGCATATTTTATTTTATAGATACAAAATCCCATTTCACAACTCAATCAGCAGCAGATGGGTTATTTACTTGCTGCTTATCGAGTGGGCATGCTAGCTATGGAAACACTTGCCCGCAGAGTGCACGATGATAGACCACAAGCAAAATATGCTAGAAACCCACCTTATGGAGAGGATGTTAAATGGCTCTTGAATGTAGCCAAAAAATTAGGTAAGTAAAATTATTGACTGTTTCCAATAATTACAGATTGACCATCACTAATCCAGCATCATTGGGACTTGTAGGATGCTGGATTACATATGGTTAGGTTAGAATACACTCAACCCAATAGCTAACAATCTCATATACAGTGAAAACTGCATAGTTTATCCATAGAGTCTTTGTATAAGTTAGCTGTATTAAACAACTACCTGTGTAACACAACCACGGGCATCAATTTTTGGTCCAAAACAATATACAACAACTGTAATAAGTGACCACTTCCGCAAATATATCTGGTCTAAACTATTGTTCGACCATTGTCCCACCCTTGAAATTAGGTGCAAGTGTTAATAAATTGGTCTAGCAACAAAGAACATTCATTTCAATTTGTTGGAAAATGTCCGAAAAACGAAAGAAATGCAAAGTGCTGTTGTTAGAAGATCATATTAAAGTTATCACAACAGCAATTAGCGGCGAAATTTAACTGTGGGAAAACTAAATTTATTTTACCGTAGACCTACAGTATGTTCCTTAAGGGTATAAAATATTGTACACGATACAATTAATTGGCTGATCTCATTGTTTGATAAAATTTATTTTATTTATTTATTTATTATTATTATTTATTATTTTTTTTTTTTAAGCTTATATACAGTGCATGTGCGATAAATAGTTTCTGTATCAACCTATCTTATTTCCACGATATTTTTAGAAAAATAATATCCAAGTAATTTTTGCACGCAAAATATTCAAAAAACAGTAAATGCGTTAATGCAAAAATCTGTTTTACAGGCAACCTTCCTTTTTTTGATTCTGCAATGACAATCATGGAATGTAATGAAATCGTATAATGAGAAAAAAATAATAAAATTGTTTTATTATTAATTAATAATTTTTCTTATTGTACTTAAGAAAAATATTAAATATTAAAAAATACAGTATTTTTAAAGTTAAAATAAGATTAAACTAATGAAAACCAAAACCAAAGTGATGCAGAGATAGGACGCGCTTGTATATCGATGACGTAATACTACATGTATTACATCATCGATATACAAGCGCGAGGAGTGAACAAAAAGAACTGAGTCGAATTAATTAAGACGGAAAAAAGAAAGTGTGCATTATAATCGAGAAAATACGAGTATTGTATTAATCTTTAAAATATTGGCATTAAATCTGTCTTATAATATCACGATGACTCCTGTAAATCAGGTTATCAGATAAGAATAAAATTCAATACCAATATAGCTCTATCATTGAAAAATTTCACTTATTTTTGCTCACCTCGAGTTTTGCTTTTTAGTAGAAATGGCTAAAAAGTGCATAAAATACATACGGAAATATGTTATTACAAGACCACCTGTCTAAAACACCACTTTTTGAAGGAACCGTGGGTGGTCGCCATAGACAGGTTTTAGTATATTTAAAAAACTCCATAAATCAATACAAGTTGGTTAATAAAGAAAGAAAAAATGAACATTAAATGAAAATTTAATAAAAATTAAAATACATCTGGATACAAGTCCAATTTTGCTTGCCATGACCATTCACCAGGAACAACTATTTCCATTGCAGAGACAACCTTTGAATGTAGAATGGAAAGTAGAATGGAAATAGTTGTTCCTGGTGATTGGACATGGCAAGCAAAATTGGACTTGTATCCAGATGCATTTTACTTTTTATTAAATTGTAATTCTGCCAGCCCTTTTCTACAAAAAACATTAAATGAAAATTCTTGTCAGATTATGATCCATCTGTGCAACATTGAGCACCCCAAACACTAGAGGTGGTTTGGTGGGGCAACATGGAAATTTGAAATTATGTTAGTCAAAGTTAGTAATATTTTAAATGAGAATTGGAATTTAATACTTTAATATTAACATGTTTGTTTTCATTAATAATAATTCATAAACTAACATATTTATATAACAGCCAGGAAAGTGTGACAATTGCTCAAAAATTGACCCCCAAAGATTTTTACATTTTTGGACTTGGAACCTTGAAACATCAAGAAATGAAAATAAATTTAGGGTTTTTCTGTATGTGTATAAGATTGTGTGTGGGAGGGGCACAATTTTGTTCACCCTCTTTGAAGCTTAATAATTCCTGTGCTTTTTGTTGAAAATTTTTCTGAAATTTTTGTTGGGATGTTTGTTTATTAGGGGGATTGATGCTATTGAATTTTGGTGGTCTAAGGTTGAGGGGATGGGGAGATAAAGGGCATGTGTATCGCCAGTAGGGTCAGACTTATTGACAATTTTACTCATTATTAGCATTTATTAATGTAATTTATTAATAGTTTTTATAAAACTCTTTTTATTATAAAAAGTCTTTTAAATAAATTATCATAACAGATGATATCACCACAATTTAAATGTTTTGTTGGAAAAGTTACACAACTCATTGCTGGATTATTTTTTGTTTTTGGAATTTTATTTTAAACAATATTACATATAAACGTTTTAAAGAATTACTATTATGAAAATTTTCAAAAAAAATTTATTTGATTAATTTATGAAATTCTTTAAATAAAATTAAATTGTGAATGTCTTAATACTGTCATTAGTGGATTTAATGTGTTGTTTCAATCTTCAGTTAATAGTTGATGATCTATTGTGTCAAATAAAATGAATAAACAAGCACAAGGAATCATAAAAAGTTTTTAAAATTTAATGAAAAGTACTTGCAAAGTTTTAATTCTAGTATCTAAACTGTTAGGCTAAATTTTCTGATATACAAGGTCTGTTCAAAAAGTATTGGATCTTTGGTTGGCAGAAATAAGTTTATTGACTTTGAGGTACAAAACCCCAATCCCCTTCAAAGTAGTCTCCTTGGTAATGTATACACTTCTCCCAGCGTTCCTCCCATTGCTGGAAACACTGCTGGAACACATCTTTTGGAATGGCCATCAGCCGGTCCGTCGGATTCCGCACAATGTCTTCTCTCGACTAAATTCGGGTTCCTTTTAGCGGCATTTTCAGCTTGGGAAATAGCCAAAGGTCCCACGGAGCCATGTGGGGAGAGTATGGAGCATGACGAACCACAGGAGTATTGTGTTTGGCGACGAAAGCTCGAAACAGATGCGCAGAATGGGCGGATGTGTNGCGATTAGTAACAATTTATATTTTGGGGGCGAAAAACAATTTTCTGGGCGATATAGTAAAACATTATATTAAGAATAATTAGATATTTTATTCGTTATATCATACAATAATTAAACAAATAATATTATACTAGTCACTAGTCTATTCAATGCAGTACGAAGTTGGCGTTAGTCTTGGTCCTCGGCATCGGAATTTTGAAGTGAAGGGGGCAACGATTCGTTAGAGGTTGAGAAACACTGTTTTAGACTTTGTGTAAAAAATTAAAGGAATTCTTGTTTGACGTATCTTGAGTATTGTTTTCTTTGCAATTGGAGCATCCTGAGTCAATAGAGAGGGCAAACCAAACTAGTGGCCAGCACACATTAAAACATTATTTTTTGAAATTACTCGAAATTTTAAAACACAAGCTGGGTCTGGGCCCCAATAGTTCATACCGGCTTCGTTATGTGCTTAGCCCATCAATAGCCGAGTGAATAAAACACCAGTAGTTGGTCACAGGTTTGCATCTTGCCAACAGGATGGAGTTTCCAGGTTTTCTTTACTTACATCTAAATAGGGTCAGTTTCTTATAGAAAGGCTTCCTGGGAAGTATACCTCCTTGCCAGATTGATGGGAGAAGGCAATGTAACACTTGAACAATCTATCCATTCTGAGATACTTAACTGCCTTCCTTATCTTATAATATAATTGAGATGGGTTGATAATGATAATAAGTGCAGAACCCAAACAGTTAGGAGTTGAAAGTTGAAATTTGGTACACAGTTGGGATACATCATGAGAATGCACATTAAGAAGTAATTTTTTGAAATTCCCACCGTGGGGGAGAGGGAAAGGGTTAAGGATTACCCAAAGAACTTGGCTTCTACTGTACTATTTTAGATGCCTTTCTTGCATTTATGTGGGAAATCAAACATATTTTTAGACCCTTCTAAAAATTCTCAATGATATTTAGTGTTCCATTGTATATAAAGTTGACACGGAGAGTGCATGCACATAAGTACGCTTTACTCAAAGTCCATCTTAATGTTCAAATTTATATTTATGAATGATTCTGGAAGATCCAGCTTATTTTTCAAATTTAGTAAACCCGAAGAACCCAGAAAAAGTTACAAAAATGTTTATTATTCATATATTTGTTTTGATTCTACAATTAGACACTGAAAACTTCACCAATATCCAACTAATAGTGTCTTATATTCTGCCTGACAATTTTAAGAACATTTTATTGCTTATAGGAAATTACCTGCTACCTGAAACTAACTTGATTTTATGTGCTGATTTTAATTAACTATGTTAATCAAGGGATACCCGTATACTTTTATATGTGGATTACACAGGATTTGTTAATGAATAATAAATAATGGCTTTTATTTCTTTTTTCAGTCATATAAATTTGATTGTGGATTAATAACAGGATAAACTAATTTAATAAAATATTTAAATTTAATAATTTGGCAATTATTAAAAATATATATAACTGTTAATTAGAAAAAATAACTAAAAATTTGGAGAAGCAACAGCATATGTGCATAGTAAGTCAAATGCCGACTTATGTTGTAAATGTGCCATATCTTAAGGGTCAGAGAATTTGTAGAAAGTTGGTCAGGAGAAGTCAAGCAAAATCATGGAATTTAAAACAAAAATTGAGTAGGAACCCCATATTTAGACTACCGTTGTCTCTATCTGTAAAACTGACTCGTCATTTTCAGAGACTTGGTCTACTGAGTCTTCATGAAGTTGAGTTTGAGGGCCAATAGGATACAAACAATAAAAATAAAAATGTTATTGATATAAATATTTTATAAAGAGATCAATATTCTAAATTATTTTCATTCTTGCCAGATGTATTTTCTATAGCAATGCATTCAACTTGGCTCAAATTAAGTCAGTCCATACCAATTTTGATGATGATGTAATAATGGCTAGCTATTAAAAAGTACTTCATGAAAATTTGTTATATATTAGTCTGTGATTTTTTTTTTTAAATGTTGCATTTTGGAATATTATAAACGTATTTTTATGATGGCCAGACAGCTGAGTGGTTAAGGTGTCAGCCTATTGCCACGGATGACCCGAAAAAAAAAACAGGAAATTTTTGAGGTGGTCCATTCTGGATATTTTGGGTCTTGTTCCTTGGCCGTCTAGTCACAGGCCTATTTAAATCACTGGCCAGGTTTTAAAATAGGTTGTAACATTAATGAGTCTGTAGATAAACGAACAAATCTGTATAAATACTATAAACCATTCCTTGCATTTGGATTTATTCAGAATAAAACATTTAAGAATCTTTAAAGTCCAGTAACACAAATTTTAATGAAATGTTACTGGACTTTAAAGGTTCTTGATTGTGTGTGATTCATTCCAGTAATTCGGTAAGAAGATAGTTTAATCTTTAAAAGATTTATTGTGATGGCAGCAACATCTCTTTATTAGATCTAAATAGAGTCTGAAAGAATGTAATTTGAATGAAAACAGTTTTTTAGAACAATCTGATGATATTTTTATTTAAATTCTTTTTTTTCAGTTGGACCTGACAATAAGGTGTTGCTATTTTGAAAAAACATTTTATACTGAAAAAATTGCAGTTCATTACACAAAAATACAAATACTGGTAGTTGATTGTTAGTTTATATCCTTCAGTATTGTTTTCCAGGTTTTCTTTGCATACCTAACACCTAAATTGGGGCTGGTTTCCCATAGAATCTCTTCCTATGTGGCAACACTCCAGTAGCAGATAACTCAAGTGTTACATTGCACTTCCATTAATTCTAACCCAAATAAATAATTTTTTTGAACTGTTTTTATGCATATGAAGTTTTTTTTTGTTACTTTTAAAAATTAAAATACATGATTTTTAGTGTTTTGGTCAAATTCAATTAATTATGTTTTGTTTGGGATTTTACCATTTTTTTCAATATAAACTACATGTACATCAGACGTAAATAGCTTTTAGTTAACAATAAATTTTGTTATACTGTATTGTAAATATTACATAAATTCTAATTTCTTATTTTTAATTTATTTTACTTTTGGTGAATAAAGATTCTTCTGCTAAGAAACCTGCCTCAGTGCAAGAAACCTGCCTCAGTACAGAAGGTATTTTTAAATATACAAATTTAGATTTCCTTTTATACTATTTTCTTTAATGGTTTTTTTTTCCAGCTGTAAAAAGTTTTCAATTGCTTAGTGCCAGTGCCAAGGATTATGAGAAAATCACTCAGAAATTAGAAAGAAGTATATATTACACTTTCGTTTTAATTTATTGTAAAATTAGTTCATATTAATTGTACTATGTTCATTTGAATTGTAGATATAATTATATCAAATTTAATTATTCTTATGAAAAGGGAAATTATTTTTAGTTTGGTAGGTCCTCGATTTAAGTAACACTAATTGGGTGAAGGGTTCCACTATTGCTTAAAGTCTGTTAGATCAAGTATGGTTAAAAACACATATTATGAACTTACAATATCAGTGGTGTGATATAGCTTCATGAGGTCCTGGCAAATTTGAATTAGGGTGTCCTACTTACAGTGTTGAATTCAGACATTTTTTCTTGGGGGAATATTTTTTTTATAAAAAATTTGTGTAGGGTCCCCAGGCAATTGAGCTTTTTGCCATAGTATCAGATGTTACAATGTATGAATAAAATATAGTGTATATTGCGTAATTTATAATCATTGGCCCAAATTTTTAGTGTGGTCTATACATAAAGAAAAAAATTTTCTATCCTAAAGGAAAAATTCATAACTTTTTCTTTAAGTCTATTAAATTGAATGCCTACTATAAATTATTTATTTAATTTAATAACCATGCATTAACCGAAAAAGAATCTGTAATTTGTATTTAATTAGAATGCAATATTTTCAGTTTAACTTTTTATCAATTTTATTTGAGATTCAAAGTATAAATGGCTTCATAATTTTACAAAAACATCAAAATATGTCTGAAACATTTGAGCCAGAAAAGCTTTTAATTATAGAATGATTAATGTTTATGGAATACTTTGAATTGGCTTGATATGATGTTCTAAAATCAATATCTTTAAACAAAATTGCTAATCAACATTCTGGTACTTGTTTGCGTAAATATGCAGCATTTTATGCTGTATATTTTTAGAAGCTAGTGGAAGCTCTGATGGTTACTCTATTGATTGGTGTGTATCACATACCACTGAAATAATAATTAATATAATTACAATAATTTAAAATGGTTAGCATTCGTTTCGGAAGACCCTGCATTAAAACATTTATTAAAAATGATGAATTTTCTTTAGATTATTTGTTAACATCAAATTCCGACTAAAGTCTAGTTCTGAATTTTTAGTTATCAGTATAAAAATAACGAAAAGAGGTATTTGCATTCACACTCTAATTTACATAAAACTTCATGGGAACAGAACACAGAATTGCATCTGTTATTGCTTGATGATGATGTACAAAAATTAAGTACTGTATTTTTGTGTGTATAACTTGCAATGATATATACTTTGCAGAAAATTGCTAGAATGAAAATAAAAATTTTGCAAAACATGTCCTGCCAAATGTCCCACAACTCTAGATTAGCTATTGAAATTATGGTATTGGTATACAATTTATAGGATATCATGTCAAACATTAGAATATTGTTTTTCTTCATTTTAGATGTAATTATAAAAAATGGGAAATGACCAAAAAAACCTGAAAGGAATGTACTAAACTTCACATGTAAATAATACAAATGGCATATTATTGACAGAAATATATCATTAGAATAAAAAATAAGTATTATTATTAATAAATTATAACATGCAATCGGGAGAAGAGTGTGCTCCATATGAGGTGTTAGCAGGGGCAGATGTATGTACATAAGGACTAATAGGGTTTAAGCCCTGGGCNGAATTAATAATATTTTTTCAGGATAAACAAATAAACAAACGCAATTCTAAATAGAATAATGAGTGTATGTTGTTGTTGACTTACTTAGCTGATGTATTTTCGCATTTAAACGACTTGAATGTGAATTTGCAAGGACGTGATAAAAACATTTTATTAATGACAGACATTAAGAAGCTTGATATCTGGGGCCGTATTCTGGTCTCTCGTCTCTCACAAGCCAGTCGCTGATTGGCTAATCATTTGGATTAGAGACTAGAGACCGTGACCAGAATATGGCCCCTGGATTATTCGCCTTCAAAGCAAAAATTTGGATATGTTTCCACTCACTTCGGATTATATTGAGAAAAATTTGAATGAACAAGACACTATTATTCATCACAGTTTGGATTGCATGAAGATGCATTTGTATGAGCTAAAAACTCAGTTGACGGAGTATTTTCCGGAAGATAAAAATGATTTATTGAAGAGATGGGTATTGAATCTGTTTAGTGAAAATGTTGTTGCCGCTGCTAAGTTACCAGTTGAGATTCACGACCAACTCATCGAAATGCTACAACTGCAATTTACATCTGAAGATTTAAATACGTTTTGGCTTGTTCGTCGACATGAATATGGAAATTTAGTCACAGAAACATTGAAAATATTAATCCCTTTCGCCACGTCTTATCTGTGTGAAAAGGGTTTTTCGTCTATGGTTGCGCTAAAAACAAAATACAGGAATCGTCTTTTATCACTCGAAAAAAATTTGCTTTTGTGTGTTTCTAACATAGATCCATGTATGGAGAAAATTTTAAATGAAAAACAAATGCAATTATCACATTAATTTCTTTTCTTTACATGTGTACTTATTGTAAGTAAAATGTTTATAAGTTTATAATAAATGATTTTATGCAAAAAAATGATTTTATTATTGTTTCGTGACCCCCCTTTAATATCACCGCGACTCCCAGGTTGAGAAATGCTGTTCTAGGCTTTCAGGAAACCAGCACTGAAAGTCTGACGTACACGTTTTTGTGTTTAAAATTTCAGCCTCAACTTTGCTATTAATTACAAACTTACAATGTCAGTGGTGTGTTAGAGCTTCATGAGGTCAAGGCAAATTTTAATTAGGGTGTCCTACTTACAGTGTTGACTTCAGACTTTCAGTGTTGATCCACATTTTTTCTTGGGGGAAATTTTTTTTATAAATGATTTGTGTGGGGGCTCCAGGCAATTGAATTTTTGCCATAGGATCAGATGTTATTGATGTAGTTTATTAAGCAAATGGAATACATATATACAGAATGCTATTTTTGTTAATAATTACTTATAAATAAACTGCAGGTAAACAGCACATGTCCAGTGAGAACCTAACAGGTTGCTGGAAAGGTTTTATTATAAAAAAAAAATAAAGCAGAATTCCTTGAAATGTAAGGTGCGTTTCAAATTTATATGGACACGAAAAAATTAAGGCGAAACCCAATTTGCTGCATTAAGTGACAAATGTTTTATTAAAAATAACATGGATTTGCATGTTTCCACACTGCAAAATAAGAATTTTAATCAAACATTAACATTTTGTCACTGAAAATAATATTTTTGAGAATTTTGTACAAAAAATTGTTACATATTTATCTGGATAGGCACTCATTTCATGACTTAAATAGAATATTGTTTAGTTTCAAGCATTGAAATATGCAAATTAGCTTACATATCTAATTGTAATACAAATTCTTTGTTGTTCAAAGTTCTAATCTGATTATGAAAAAAGGCAGATTTATGCCTATAAATTACAAGGCAAGTCAATAAGAGAAATTGCAGCATATATAAATCATCCAAAATCAGCTGTTGGTGATTTTTTATGAAAAAGATGTGGCAAGGATGTACTAAAATTCAAGACAGGTCCAGAACCCAAGCTTACATATTGCGATTGTAGACAAATCATCAAGGTTTGCTCAACAAAACAAACATCAGTAAGAAAAATAAAACAAGAATTAGACTTGCCTTGTAGCAGCACAACAGTGTGGAGAGTTTTAAATAAATCTCCAATGTTAAAATTCAGAAAAAAAGCTGTAATGCCACCACTTTCATTAAAGCACAAAAGTGACAGACTTGATTGGGCACAAAAACACATGAAATGGTCCGAAGAATGGATTGAAGTTTTGTTCAGTGATGAAAAAAAATTCAACTTAGATGGTCCAGACGGTTGGAAGTATTACTGGCAAGATTTAAGAACCGAAAAACAAATATTTTCAAAACGCCAAATGGGTGGGGATCAATAATGGTTTGGGATGCGTTTGGATTCAATGGAACCACAGATTTAGCATTTATAACTCAAAGAATGAATTCAGAGAACTATCAAGCCATGCTTGAAGATCATTTATTAGAAGCTGGACCAAATTGGATCTTTCAAGACAATGTCCCTGTGCATGCCTCTAAATCAACAAAAATGTGGTTTAAATGTAAATATATTAATCTGATGACATGGCCTGCTAGAAGCCCTGACCTGAATCTGATGGAAAATCTTTGGGGGATGATAGTTTGTACAATTTATGCCAATGGAAAGCAGTTTTCCACAATTCGTGATTTGAAGGCAGCAATTTCAGATGCTTGGGATAAACTTAAGATTGAATTCCTTCAGAATCTAATTGAAACAATGCCTAATTGAATCTTTAATTAAGTTAAATAGTAGTTACATTGGCCATTAAATTGTAAGAAAACTTTGCAATTTGAAACCTGTCCAGATAAATATGTAACAGTTTTTTGTACAAAATTTTCAAAAATATTATTTTCGGTGACAAAATGTTAATGTTTGATTAAAATTCTTATTTTGCAGTGTGGAAACATGTAAATCCATGTTATTTTTAATAAAACATTTGTCACTTAATGCAGCGAATTTGGGTTTCACTTTAATTTTTTCGTGTGCGTATAAATTTGAAATGCACCTTAGTCCAAATTATTTTTACAGCAATTAGTAACTCAAATTATTCTAATTTAAATGGTAATATTTAACTTTTTTTCATTGTAATAATCTTGATTGCATAACAAAACAATTTCTGATTTTTTTTTTACTGTTTATTAAGGGATAAATTTAATAAATATATATTTTTTGCATGGATTATAAAGAATTTGTTAATGAATAATAATAAAATAATTGCTTGTTTCTTATTTTTCAAAGCCATGTAGATTTATGATTATGGATTAATAACAGGATAAACTAATTTAATAAAATATTTAAATTTAATAATTTGGCAATTATTAAAAATATATATAACCGTAAATTAGAAAAAATAACTAAAAATTTGGAGAAGCAATAGCATATGTGCATAGTAAGTCAAATGCCGACTTATGTTGTAAATGTGCCATATCTTAAGGGTCAGAGAATTTGTAGAAAGTTGGTCAGGAGAAGTCAAGCAAAATCATGGAATTTAAAACAAAAATTGAGTAGGAACCCCATATTTAGACTACCGTTGTCTCTATCTGTAAAACTGACTCGTCATTTTCAGAGACTTGGTCTACTGAGTCTTCATGAAGTTGAGTTTGAGGGCCAATAGGATACAAACAATAAAAATAAAAATGTTATTGATATAAATATTTTATAAAGAGATCAATATTCTAAATTATTTTCATTCTTGCCAGATGTATTTTCTATAGCAATGCATTCAACTTGGCTCAAATTAAGTCAGTCCATACCAATTTTGATGATGATGTAATAATGGCTAGCTATTAAAAAGTACTTCATGAAAATTTGTTATATATTAGTCTGTGATTTTTTTTTTAAATGTTGCATTTTGGAATATTATAAACGTATTTTTATGATGGCCAGACAGCTGAGTGGTTAAGGTGTCAGCCTATTGCCACGGATGACCCGAAAAAAAAAACAGGAAATTTTTGAGGTGGTCCATTCTGGATATTTTGGGTCTTGTTCCTTGGCCGTCTAGTCACAGGCCTATTTAAATCACTGGCCAGGTTTTAAAATAGGTTGTAACATTAATGAGTCTGTAGATAAACGAACAAATCTGTATAAATACTATAAACCATTCCTTGCATTTGGATTTATTCAGAATAAAACATTTAAGAATCTTTAAAGTCCAGTAACACAAATTTCAATGAAATGTTACTGGACTTTAAAGGTTCTTGATTGTGTGTGATTCATTCCAGTAATTCTGTAAGAAAATAGTTTAATCTATAAAACATTTATCGTGATGGCAGCAACATTTTTATTAGATCTAAATCACAGGTTCTCAAACTTATTTCAACCACCACCCACTTTGAGATTAAAAAAAATCTAGTGCCCCCATAATTTTTAACTTACTTTTTTACATTACCATCTGTTGCAGTTATTGCAAATATAATGTTTAAACATGCATTATTATATGGATAGGATAGATAGGGTATGACCCATATCTTATTTCTGAGATCAAAGAATGTTTCAATGAGAAGAAATAAAACTCATATTTAATCACTGAGCCTTGTACTCCCCCTGAAAGCCTCCAGCGCCCACACGGGGGCGTTATTGCGCACTGTGAGAAAGGATGATCTAAATAGTCTGAAAGAATGTAATTTGAATGAAAACAACAATTCCAGTGCGTTCAAAAAGCCAAAAACAGTTTTCTAGAACAATCTGGTGATAATTTTATTTAAATTCTGTTTTTTCAGTTGGACCTGACAATAAGGTGTTGCTATTTTGAAAAAACATTTTATCCTGAATAAATCTGCAGTTCACTACACAGAAACACAAATACTGGTAGTTGATTGTTAGTTTATATCCTTCAGTATTGTTTTCCAGGTTTTCTTCTCATACCTAACACCTAAATTCAGGCTGGTTTTCCATAGAATCTCTTCCTATGTGGCAACACTCCAGTAGCAGATAACTCAAGTGTTGCATTGCCCCTTATTCCATTAATTCTAACCCAAATAAATGATTTTTTGAACTGTTTTTATCCATATGAAGTTTTTTTTGTTAATTTTAAAAATTAAAATATATGATTTTCAGTGTTTTGGTCAAATTCAATTATGTTTTATTTGGGATTTTATCATTTTTTTCAATATAAACTACACGTACAGTAGACGTAAATAGCTTTTAGTTAGCAATAAATTTTGTTATACTGTATTGTAAATATTACATAAATTCTAATTTCCTATTTTTAATTTATTTTACTTTTTGTGAATAAAGATGCTTCTGATATGGAACCTATCTCAGCACAAGTATTCCCTACAGAAGGTATTTTTAAATAGTATAAAAGAAAATCTAAATTTGTATATTTTTTAATGGTTTTTTTTTTCAGATGTAAGAGCGTTAAAATTGCTTAGTGCCGATTCTGAAGAAATCATTGAGAAACCAGAAACAAGTATATATTACACTTTTGTTTTAACTTATTGTAGCATTAATTCATATTAATTGTACTATCAATATATTAATTTGAATTGGAGATGTAATTATATCAAATTTAATTATTCTTATGAGAAGGGAAATTATTTTTAGTTTGATAGGCCCTCGATTTAAAAAACACTAATTGGGCGAAGGGTTCCACTATTGCTTAAAGTCCATTATATCAAGTATGGTTAAAAACACATATTTATTATGAACTTACAACATCAGTGGTGTGTTATAGCTTCATGAGGTCCTGGCAAATTTTAATTAGGGTGTCCTACTTACAGTGTTGACTTCAGACATTTTTTCTTGGGTGAATATTTTTTTTTTATAAAAGATTTGTGTTGGAGCCCCAGGCAATTGAGCTTTTTGCCATAGTATCAGATGTTACAATGTATGAATAAAATATAATGTATATTGCATACTTTATACTTATTGCCTCATTGGCCCAAATTTTTAGCGTGGTCTATACATAAAGAAAAAAATTTTCTGTCCTAAGGAAAAATTCATAACTTTTTCTTTAAGTCTATTAAATTGAATGCCTACTATAAATTATTTATTTAATTTAATAACCATGCATTAACCGAAAAAGAATCTGTAATTTGTATTTAATTAGAATGCAATATTTTCAGTTTAACTTTTTATCAATTTTATTTGAGATTCAAAGTATAAATGGCTTCATAATTTTACAAAAACATCAAAATATGTCTGAAACATTTGAGCCAGAAAAGCTTTTAATTATAGAATGATTAATGTTTATGGAATACTTTGAATTGGCTTGATATGATGTTCTAAAATCAATATCTTTAAACAAAATTGCTAATCAACATTCTGGTACTTGTTTGCGTAAATATGCAGCATTTTATGCTGTATATTTTTAGAAGCTAGTGGAAGCTCTGATGGTTACTCTATTGATTGGTGTGTATCACATACCACTGAAATAATAATTAATATAATTACAATAATTTAAAATGGTTAGCATTCGTTTCGGAAGACCCTGCATTAAAACATTTATTAAAAATGATGAATTTTCTTTAGATTATTTGTTAACATCAAATTCCGACTAAAGTCTAGTTCTGAATTTTTAGTTATCAGTATAAAAATAACGAAAAGAGGTATTTGCATTCACACTCTAATTTACATAAAACTTCATGGGAACAGAACACAGAATTGCATCTGTTATTGCTTGATGATGATGTACAAAAATTAAGTACTGTATTTTTGTGTGTATAACTTGCAATGATATATACTTTGCAGAAAATTGCTAGAATGAAAATAAAAATTTTGCAAAACATGTCCTGCCAAATGTCCCACAACTCTAGATTAGCTATTGAAATTATGGTATTGGTATACAATTTATAGGATATCATGTCAAACATTAGAATATTGTTTTTCTTCATTTTAGATGTAATTATAAAAAATGGGAAATGACCAAAAAAACCTGAAAGGAATGTACTAAACTTCACATGTAAATAATACAAATGGCATATTATTGACAGAAATATATCATTAGAATAAAAAATAAGTATTATTATTAATAAATTATAACATGCAATCGGGAGAAGAGTGTGCTCCATATGAGGTGTTAGCAGGGGCAGATGTATGTACATAAGGACTAATAGGGTTTAAGCCCTGGGCCCCCAAATGTCAAGGGCCCACAAAATTTGAATTATCATAAATTTTTAATACTATTTTATTAACAAAGAGCACTTACTATATAGTAAAAAATAGTTACTATAAATTATCATTATTATTATTATTATTAATCTATATCTTATGTATATATATGTANTATGAAAAAGTAATAATCTATATCTATATCTATATATATAAAAATGGACATGTATGTCCCTATATTTCACTTTTCTGCCAAAACTACACATCGCACATGAATGCTGTTTGTATGTGGTGGTAGCCCCAAGTCTCCATTCATGCACTATGGGGGTTGCGTCTCGATAGCTATAAGGGTGCGGGAGATATGGGGCTGAAAGTGGTTGAAAGTGGTTTTCTATTTCGAATGTTATGTTCGAATTTGTTTGAATTTAATTCGAACATAAAATTCGAATATTGGTTTGATTATAGAACGATTGTAAACGTTCCAGAAACATTGAAAACAGTTTGTTTGACTGTATGTGAACAGGAGACGTTCAGAAACAGAATTGGGACCAGGTCTCTAATTAGTCTGGAAATGGGGGACCTAATTCTTGCATTCTGTGAAAACTGGTAAGATTGGCTATAATGTAATTATCTTAATCTTCACTATCGTTACTTTTTGCCCACAAATAAAAACCCAGCGAAGCGGGTCCTTGCAGCTAGTATATTATATTATTTGTTTTATTGTAATCAATGTAACATAATTGGTCAGGTCATCAAATTTGGGTTTAAAATTACAACCTAAAGATTCTTAAACTAACAAAAAATCGGGCCCCATAGAACTTCAATAAGCCCTATGCCCCAAAAAGCCTAGATCTGCCCCTGGGTGTTAGGTCCAAGCTCCTAATATAATGTGTTGGGCAGTGGCTGGGGCAGTAAAGGCCTCAGCCTGCCACTCTTGGGGGCCAAGGATTGAATGCAAGCAGAGAACACCAGAGATTTTTCATAGATGGTATGTCTCAGATACATTGGGCCTCATTGCTCTCCAATTGGCCGAACCCATAATGCATACGATTAAAAGGCTCTCTGTGCTCAAAGGGTGGAAAGAGTCAAAACAGGTTAAATTATAAAAAGTGTTTTTCTCCTTGTCATGCATGAGTTACATGTAATTTTCTAAACAGTTAATCTTACTTATGGGTGCCCAAATATTGAATGTTTGGCACTATTGTTGGTGGCTTTAGATGAAGGAACAGACACTTGACAGGTTCTTAATTGAATTTAAAATTGGCCTATAATCTGTATTTCAAATGCAAATTATCTGTGCGTTAGATGCACGAAAATATGGTAAATTATTTCCTTTTATGTTTTTTTTTCCTACAAACAAAATCCTTTTATGTTGTTTTACAAACAAAATCCTTTTATATTGTTTTACAAACAAAATCCTTTTATATTGTTTTAATAATAATAGATCATCAAAGAAATTATATTTAAATACAGGAAATCCTCATTAGTTCGAAATTCAAGGGACAAAAAAAATCACAACTTTGAATAATCACATTTTGATTTATCCAAGATTTACATATTTTTGTAAAACATGCCAAATGCCATTTAATTGATGTAATTTATTAAGCAAATGGAATACATATATACAGAATATAAGTAATTATTAACAAAAATAACAAATAACTGCAGGTAAACAGCATGTGCAGTGAGAACCTAACAGGTTGCTGGATAGGTTTTATAAAAAAAAAATAAAGCAGAATTCCTTGAAATGTAGTACAAATTAGTTTTACAGCAGCCCAAAACATAGTAAATTGCCCAAATTTAGTAACCTAGAGCCAAGGCTGATGCTATCATTTGGGCAAACTGGGCATTTGCCCAGGATGGCAAATTTTCATAAAGTTGCACAAAATTTTCAGGCATATTTTTTATTTATATTACATGGCATGAGTTGACTATAAATATGACAGTGTAAGGTGTATGGTAATTCAAAACACAATTTTATTTTATGTAGGGAGATAAGGGATGTCAAATGCATGTCTTGCCTTGAACAGTATGCCCTCTAGCGCTGTCACTGCTTATAGCTTACAAATATCTCAATCTGTTGCTTGTAGTACAATCTTTCCATTCCAAAAACCCAGCCGTATTTTACAATATAAAAGAAAAAAAAGGGTTGTCTATGGGTAAGGTGACACCCAAAACTATATAACTGTAAAAGCAAAGCAATATTGACCAGTTTAGTATTGTTCTTGGTCTATTATTCTCTTATAACATGGAGGCACTTCGAACTAAATGAACCAGTTAACATACACATATCATAGTATGGACAGAATTTTCACTTCGAAATATGATTACTTTGAAATTCAAAATAATCAGATTCCTTAACATGTACATCTCTGGCCAGGACAAAACCACAGTTATGAACTAACAATATTTTGAACTATCTGAGTTCAAAGTAATGAGGATTTCCTGTAAAAGTTTTAAAATTGATGTTTGAATTTTTATTATCACAGGAAGGAAAAAAAGAAAATGTCGTGGTAAGAGTTTAAATCAATCAGGTACATATTTTATTTATATTAAAAAACATATTAACTATAAAATATTATATTTTACAAAGTAAATAGTCTCTAAATAGTTTAATTATTTAATATAAGTAATAGATATATATTATATCAATGGTGCGGTTTTTTATATTCTTTTGAATGTGAATTTTTTTAAAAAATTATTTCTTCAAAAAATTGATGAAACATCATAGGTTAGATCCGAAGAAGTTAAGGGACGTTTTTTTGTCTGGATTGCATTTTATCAGAGACAAAAACTTCTGAGTGTTATCTTCATTAATCTTTATTCACTATGCATTTCGGGTGCAATATTTTGTATTTTTCACCTTTTACATATACATTTTATGTTATATATTACACCTGTTTGGTTTGGTATTAATGTTGTTTTTAATTTTATTTTTTAATTTGGCTGCTAGTGTAACACCATGCTTACTGAAAACTTTTCTATACTTTTCAAATGTTCCTTTAATATAGGGGAATGACATATATGTAGTATTCTCATTTTTATATTTAACATTGAATCTGTTTTTTATATATATGCAGTTGTCCACTTTTTTAGTAATCTGTTTGGGTAGTCGTTCAAGATAATTTTATAACAGCACTTTCAAAGATATAGAACAGAATACCTAAGGTAGAAGAAAGAGAACAACAAAATGATAAGTTAATAAATATATTTCTTTTTATTGTTATAGGATTATATGATTTATAATTAAGAATTTTATCTACATTGCTGCTTTTTTTGTAAGGTTTTATATTGAGAGTGTTTCTTTCCCAGTATAGAGTTATGTCTAGATAATTGATTTCATTTTTATTTTCTATTTCACTTTCAAACTTAAGATTATTGCTTAGCGTGTTTGCATAATTGTATATTATATTTTCGTTAGTGAATAAAGAATAATGAAGATAACACTCAGAAGTTTTTGTCTCTGATAAAATACAGTCCAGACAAAAAAACGTCGATTAATTTCTTCGGATCTAACCTGTGATGTTTCATCAATTTTTTGATGAAATAATTTTTTTAAAAAATTGACATTCAAAAGTTAAGTACAGTGATACCCCGACTTACGCAAACCCGGAGTTATGCGATTTTCAAATCTCGTCGATTCGTCTTTTGTTTGAGCACCATGCAACTCTTGATTACTCATTCCCTCCACACTATTGTTCAACTTACATGTTCAGACATGTCACGCAGAATTGACACACAACTACAATTTATTTTGTGTTATTTATTTCTGTGTTTGTTATATCTACGAAGACTCGAGAGAGACTATGTGGTGATTTCTTGTAACAATGAACGAATCAAAAGACAAGATAAGATTAATGAGAACATTTATTAGCTTACATACATCTGACTTGGATTTTATACACATTGAGAAATTATACCCCGACTTACGTGGTTATCGCTCAGTCCCACCTATCGTGTAAGTTTGGGGTATTACTGTATTGTTTAAATTAAATAAATTAAATGTAGAAACTTGGTAAGATAGGTTTTATCTAAATGAAAGCATTGAATTAGATGCAAATTTTGTAGAATCAAATGCATGTAATTCAACCTTATTCCTCCACAGTACCACAGTTTGGAAGCAGTTCATTGTACTCTGTTTCAGACTTTGAAGCTGAGAAGGGAGATGAACCTCTTCCAGATGCTGAAAGTGGTCCAACACCCTCTTCAGTACCACGATTTGGAAGTAATCAAACACCCACTTCAGTACAACAATTATTTGGAAGTGGTCCAACACCCTCTTCAGTACCACAATTTTTTGGAAGTGGTCCATTGCCTTCTTCAGTACCACAATTTGGAAATAGTCGAACACCCACTTCAGTATCACAAGTTTTTGGAAGTGGTCCAACACCCACTCCAGTACCACAATTTTTAAGTAGTCGAACACCCACTTCAGTATCACAAGTTTTTGGAAGTGGTCCATTGCCCTCTTCAGTACCACAATTTGGAAGTGGTCCAACACCCTCTTCAGTATCACAAGTTTTTGGAAGTGGTCCAACACCCTCTTCAGTGCCACATCTTGGAAGTGGTCCAACACCCACTCCAGTACCACAATTTTTAAGTGGTCGAACACCCACTTCAGTATCACAATTTTTTGGAAGTGGTCCAACACCGTCTTCAGTACCATGTTTTAGAAGTGGTGCATTCCCCTCCTCAGTTTCAGGCTTTGGAAGTGGTCAATCCCCCTCCTCAGTACCATGTTTTGGAAGCAGTCCATCAGCCACATTAGTAGAATTTGTTAGTAGACCTGGTGTACCAACTTACTTATCTTCTTCAAGTAAAAAAAAAATATCAAATATCTATTTTTCATTTTCAGATTTTAAATTTAATGATGATGGTTTTTCAACAGATTCATCAGACATTGCTCTTGGAGCTGCTCCCCTTCATCCTCCTAGATTATTATTCGAACCATGTGAACCAATCTGCGCTATGCAAACAGAGAATATAGCTTCGTTGTCACTTCATCAACAATCTTTAATCAAGAGGCATAGACTTGTAGATGATTCTTCCAAGATGTCAAGATCAAAAGTAGTTAAATTTGGTGATACTGAAATTGTCATCAATGACAGAGAAACAGAAATTACACAGAAGGAATTAACTACCTATTCAATATTCATTGAATTAAAAGGTATGAGAAAGAAAATCAATTTTTTAAGCTTGGTGAAATCAACTTCTTGTATTAATTTGAAGCACTCCTATACCATTAATTAATAGACAACCCCTTAATGTTGTGTGTACAATTTAAGGGGATTGTTAAGGAGTACGTGGTCCTACACACAGAGCAGGTAGGAATCAAAAGTGTCTCAAAACTCTGTACAGTCTTTAATAGGGTAAAGTTACTGGAAATTTGTGTTTTATTGACTCTAAAAGGATGTTAAGACAATTTTTTGATTGTGTTAAATAATGGATATATAACAAGGATATGTTAAAGTATAATTTGAAGCTTCATTAATTACAATTATTGTTATTAATTAATAATTTATCCAGTGTTGTTTGCCTATTGTTTATTTCAGTAATGTCTTTAACAACAGTTAACATTTGAAGTAAGAAATGCCAGCAATTTAAATGTTGAACATTAAACATTTTAAATATTATTTACTCGCAGTATTATAGTTTAAAGCACTGGTTAACCAATGACAATTACATTTTGTCAACCACATGTTAAGGTCAATAGTGTAAAACGAGGACTTAAAAAAATAGCTGAAGATAATGATAATTTTAACTGAAATTCAAATGTATTGTTTTCAGCAAGGCTGCGGAATTGGTAAAAAAAACTCTACTCCAACTCCAGCAAAATTAAATACCAAGTCATTTTATGGGGGCAGAGATGCTCATAGGGGTTACCCTACTCTGAACTCTGAAAGGAGCCTGAGTCATTTACCCAAATACTTTTATAATTAATATATTTAATATTTAACTTACATTAATATTTATTTGAATAAAAAAACGAATTTTTAACAAATACTTAATAAGAGGAGAAAGGGGGCAATAAAATTCTATATCTACATACATTCGACAGCATTTGCACTTCAATTTCACCCTTCCAAAAGAGTTAGTCCAACTAATAAGTGTGCAATCTAGCTACTTCAGCCTCTTGTTCAGAAAAGAAAAATATGTACTCTGATCAATTAGTCTGGCTCATTCAGAAAAATAGAGTACTTATTTAGAGCAGGGATAATAAAGGAATGATTCAAAAATATTCAAATTCAATTGGGTCAAAATAATTTAACTACTAAACACAAATACTACAAAACATTACATATTTAAATTAATGTATTTTGTGTTTAAAATAAATGAATTATAACAAAATACAAAAAAGATTTTTAAAAATAATAAAAGAAAATTTATTATAAATTCATTTAAATAAAAAAACTAAACTAAATTTAAAATGCAGGAGTTGACACATTTTTTCTTACTCCAACTCCACAGCCCTGGTTTTCAGGACATGCTAATTCCAAAAACATACCTGCAATTGCAAAAGGTGGATTGTGCTATATTATTCAGAAGTCTGTAGCATCACATTGTTTCCTAAGTTATTTAAGATACAATGTTTTTATAAACACAATACCTACACATTTTTTATTTTAAATTAGAACAAATTTTTATTATTGTTCTATAAAATAATATAACTTTTTTATTAGAATTCAAAGTTATATTTTAATGAAAATTATAAAGTAGACAATTATTATTGATTCTTTCTTTAATTAATTAATGAGAAAAATTTTGTTAGTTTGCTTATTTTATTATTATTTTTATAAAAGTTTATGCAGGACGATGATAAAAGTCTCTCCCAGGTCCACTAATACAGCAATCACTGTAGATCTTTGCCAACATATACCACATTAAACATGCATTAAATAGTGGTGTAAATTTCTGCCCTCTCCAACTCTTTTGGGAGAGAGGATAATATTGTAGCATATGATAAAAATAAAAATACATACTATTACCTTTTAGTACATTCCAAAAAATTGAGTAGAATCCTGCAACAGGCTGCCAGAGATGACAGGTGAGTGCATTACTGCAAAATGCAAGTAAAACTTTTCAATGGGAAAAATCATCATTTCCTATTAGAGGTCAGGTAACTCTCCTCTTTCCACATTGCACTGCAGGGAATGCAAGTACAGTTAGGTTTAGGTTAGCAGTGTTATGGATATTCAAATGATCTAATTTAGTAAAAAATATCAAATGCCATTAAATAAAAAACATAGCACATGCAAACATCTGTAGTATACTATTTATTGCACATACTTAAAATGACAACCTTCCACAATAATGCACATTTGCACCTCTTCAACAATGGGGTTCTGTATGACTATCAACATATTCTAAATGTAATTTTGTACAGTAAAATACAAAAACTAGTCATTACTTTGTCGGCCACTCTAGGAGTCTGGTATTTCAGCCATGGACGAGATAACCACCACCTCAGATTCTGCATTATGCATTGATTGTACCCATGGATCTTTGGGTGGGTGGGATATCAAATAGGTCCATACCCGGTATTACAGACCTTTTGAGCCTAGGTGCTGAGTGATTTTTCCAAAATCATTGCTAAGATAATTAAAATAAAAGTAAACTTCTTCTGTGCTCGGTATACAATGAAACTGCATATCAGTCTGAAGTGTTCAACAGTTTTGATATTTTCAATGAAAAATTTGTTTTTAAGTGACTTAATTTTAAAAGAATAGAAACAAATTCAATAAATACACAGTTTATAACTATTCTATAATTATAATAATTTTATTGAAAATTTCAATTTTTCTTATGTTGTTATTCTAATCTTTAATTTAATTTTTTCATAGAATGGGTTAAATGTAAAGGTGGTTTGCCATTATGTGACTTTGTATTTACTAATATCCAAAATAGTGCAATGAAAGAAAACAACGAAGAATTACTCGAGTTATTAAAGAATGTCCCATACTGTAAGTTTGAAATAAGTCTCTTATTTTTATTTGTAAACTGATAACATAAAATTCTAAAGTATTTTTTGGTAATGTTTTTATTTAATTCAGATAATTTGTCATTATAAAACACACATTTTTTTTTATACTATCTGGAAAAATGTTTATATCAAAACAAATCATGTAGAAAGAGAATTAATAGGTTTCAGTATATGTACCTGTTTAAAAATCTTCATTTGGTTTTAAACAGGCAAGAGTGATGAGTATGGCATTAATATATCACTATTTGTCATGCAAAACTGATCTGATTTCACTGTGCCATATTGCATGCTAAAAGTTTGTTCACACTATACAACAGTCAGTTATCTGCACCAGCCAAATCACAAGATTGACAATTTTCTCTTTTATATAATTGTTGCTGTTTTATTGGCAATGGCCATACGGTCCAGCTAATTACAGGCATCGGACTGAGGAATCCAGAATCAAATCTGGATGAACAACTCCCAGAATTTTTTATGGGCACTGTATCCTATCCTGTCCCATTCCAGATTTGAATAAACCTACAATAGGTATGGAAAATAAGCCCTCTTAATATGCACATGGCAGAAAGTTTTTTTTTTCATTTTTAACTCTAACTAAAAACACAGAAGTTACTTAACTTACTATTGCTTTTAGTGTTATTCAACTGACTGTCAAAAACTTGGTCAGATATATCAACAGTTTGTATTATGCATTTTAATTAAGGCATTCACACAATGTTCTGTTGCTCCAGTGATGGTCCAGTCAGTCATACAGCACAAATCACATTAATATTTTATTATCTAATCTAATTTTTATCGTTTTACAGGTGAAAATGCTATTTCGGAACCGGAACCAGAAATTTTAGACTCGGACTGCGACGATAAATTACGAAAAACAATCATAGATATGTTTAACATTATTAATAAAGTAAGCAAATTACATTTTCAAAAGCCCTTATCAAATTTGACTTTACATTTTAATTGTTATTAGGAATGTACATAACAAAAAAAAATTGCCAAAATTCAATAGAATTGTTTGAAATTTTTCAGAATGGTGGATTTTGCACAGAAGGAAATCTCCTCCAGAAAGGAATTCTTAAAAAGCCATTTTTGTTATATCTCAGAGAAGCCGGTTTAAATTCTCTAGGTAAGATTATATTTTCATTTTAAGAATTTATTCTTAGATTTTAACAATTTACTAAATTATTTAGGAACAAAAGCTTCTAAAGATATAGAATTAATGGTATCCACATTAGCCTTTCTCCTGTTCTGTGCATCCTACTTTGTCCAGTTTTCTAAGAAAAAGATCTCTGGAAGTACCGAAATCGATAAACTACAACACCTTGCAGATTTTCTAGGCGAAACAATACTTTCAGAAGAATTGATAGCCATTATTAAAACTATCAAATTTATAATTTGTATACAACACAAGTATTCCATGGCTTGCCAGTCTCTCGGTGTAGGCAAAAATTGGGAAGATTTCATATTAGATTTTATTCAGGAACCCTCGCACTAGTGCTGCAATACTTAATATATTGAATAATCAAAAATCAGATTCAAATGCTATTTTAAATTGTTACTATGTCATTGAATTTAATGTTAGTATATAAATAATTAATTAAAAATATAATATACTGTGATTTGAAATTAAAAGCAAAATACAAACAATAACCAATCCCTCTATTTTGTAATATTTAGTAATAATGATATTAGTCCCATATGTTAAACGAGAAATCTTAAAGATTAGATTAAAACACATTCATTTCCGAACGTATGCAAGAATGAAAATATTCCATGTATATTTTTATACAATTTAAATTGAATTTTCTTTTATAAATATTAGAAAACTAACATGTTGATCCATAGACAGGACTCTCTTATATCTTATGCATTTTATTGAAGATTCTATTGAATTGGTGGTCACATTTTTCACATTAATATGTAACTGTTTACCAGAGATGTGTTTTCAACATTTATTATGATTTACCTATTTTTGAACTGACAATAATAAATAAATATAAGTAATACAAGTATACTGTTAATATCATTTGCAAAATGCTATAACATATATAAATGACATTTGAAATTTTTTTTACAAAGAAAGTATAATTAGCATTCTTAATGAGGAATAATCTGTAACATAATGAGTAATTATCTATATTAATATGGCATAGTGAGAGTGAAATTAATTCAATTGAATTAAACTAGACTGATGATGCATTATATGTATACCAGTTACATATAAAATATATACTGCAATGCAACACTTGAATGAGTTAACAAGAAGGGGACTTTCTATGGGAAAACTTGTCCTCTATTTAGGTGTTAGACACATGAAGAAACTTTGGAAAACTCCAAATGGCTCGGCTGTTGGGAGGTTCAAACTCACGACCAGTGTCCAATGATTTTATCCACATAGGAAATGATTAATTGATAAAAAATTATCTAACAGTTAATCTATTTTTTATTGTAATTTCCACAAAACTCAAGCCTTTAAGAACTACTTTATTGGGAAATTAATAAAATATAAGTCTTAGACTTCATCCCTGTACTTTCAACTTCTTAGAATCATTATCAAGAGCAAAAAACAAATTCTATTGGATTAAAGACATTCCGGACCTCATCCAATTAGAATGAAGGTTAGTTCTTCAGGAAGAATGAAGCGGAATAACGGAATTTTGACGTTCTCAAACAATATTTGAAATAGTAAAGATTGAAAATTTTCCTATAAAAATAATAGAAAACACTTTCCAATATTTTAAATCTTATTCAGAATTGCATTAAATTCGGACGTGTTATCCATCCTTCTGCTCACTGTCAACTAATCGAAAATAATAATGTGTTTATAGTAATTAAACATCTTTGTTAACTAATCCTTATTTGCTTAGATCTAAATGTCACACAAATGGAGTCACATAAGAGAACAACCAAAGAAAATCTCATCTTCAGCATATCCTGCTTTGGAATTGCTAGATTCTGATGGTCCTAATCAAACTGCTCTTTTTAGAGCCAATATTTAATGGTTAAGAGTAGCCAAAATCAGAAACATTAGATAAGAACTTAATTGAGTTAATACAACTGTTGGTGTGACATCCAATGTAAGTATTTAGTATACCTAACATTACATATATGGGCTTACCTGCTAGCATTTGATATATTCTTTCCTTAAAAGGAAAAATAAAAAACTTGACAAAGGAAATCTAGACAATGTAAGTCTCAAGAGGAAGTATCTTCGGCTGGAATCGAATTAAATGTCGATTTTGACTCATCTCGCGGTCTAAATTGAGATATCGTTACACTTGGAAAGTGAGAAGAAGGAAATGCGACCAATCGGAATGGGCAAAAATAATAATAACCCTAAATTTTAAGGACAGAAGAGCTTCTCCCTCAGGTTTCTCTCAGTGCGGGATCTTTGTTCATTTTCAACTTCTCTCTCATTCCCTCATACTAAAAATGCCTTTTTTTTTTAATAATTGTCGAGTCTGTCTCAGTATCTGTCACACTTACGAATCTGCACCTGTCTTCCGTTCTGACTCGAGTTCACAATTAAAAGAATAATAAATCTTATGCACGGATTTTAAATATATATCTAACGAAAAATAAAATGCATTTTAAATATATCGTTCTAAGTTTTAAAATCTACCCATTCGAAATAGAAGATTTGCAGAAACATTTTGACGCTTACTAATAAATTTATTGTGAGACTGGAGTAAATGCATCGCTTTCAACATACCGATAAAGCTGCTCTTAACTATTAAATCGTGGCCCTGAAAAGGGCCGTTTAGATACAAAACCATCGACGTCTACCAATTCAGAGCCAGGGCACGTTGGTAATTTCTCAAGGCGTCTTGTTTTTCTGATTCTTTGAGCTCCCCTTTTGTTATTCTTTCTTTGAATTCGATCCTTTCATTTTTTTCTCGGCATGGAGGCTCTTGTGTCTCTTTCGATCTTTCTTTTCGGCCTTCCTTTCCACAGCCACCTCCTGCGCTTTCTAATTCTTTGCTGCTCTGCACTTTTTATAATAACATTGTTTGTACAAAAGTAATGTAGAAGGTATAAAGTAAAGAACAATAGTTATTGTTAAGCATTTTATATTACAACTAGCTGCAAGATCCCGCTTCGCTGGGTTTTTATTTGTATGTAATAGTATAGTTTTTTTTATATATATNTTTAAAATTGCCCATTCGAAATAGAAGATTTGCAGAAACATTTTGACGCTTACTAATAAATTTATTGTGAGACTGGAGTAAATGCATCGCTTTCAACATACCGATAAAGCTGCTCTTAACTATTAAATCGTGGCCCTGAAAAGGGCCGTTTAGATATAAAACCATCGACGTCTATCAATTTCGAGCCAGGGCACGTTAGTATTTCTCAAGGCGTCTTGTTTTTCTGATTCTTCGAGCTCCTCTTTTGTTAGTCTTTCTTTGAATTCGATCCTTTCATTTTTTTCTCGGCATGGAGGCTCTTGTGTCTCTTTCGATCTTTCTTTTCAACTTTCCTTACCACAGCCACCTCCTGCGCTTTCTAATTCTTTGCTGCTCTGCACTTTTTATAATAACATTGTTTGTACAAAAGTAATGTAGAAGGTATAAAGTAAAGAACAATAGTTATTGTTAAGCATTTTATATTACAACTAGCTGCAAGATCCCGCTGAATTTTTCATTTCTAGTACTGTTTTAATATTTTTTCTAATTAATTCATCGTCTAAAATATCTAAATGTATTTTTTACTCGTTTCGGTTAGACATTCTCTCGCCCTTTCCAATTCTTCCCGAAATCACAATACAACCTTTTCTACATAAGATAAAGCATGGTTTTCCGATAAAAATTTGCCATTCTCTACTCGATAAAATTGCTTAGAATGTTCCAAAAATGCATTTTCAGATTATTCTTCGTATAAAATATTAGAAATTATTTCTTAATTAACAAGATCACTTTTGTCTGCAGTTTTTCCTTTTCTTTCTGCCGTAATCATTTCAAGAACAATGCCCATTGTTAGATATTGCTTCGTGTTTTATGTCTTCCCGGAAGAAGATCCATCCTAGATTATACACGCTTTCCGGTTTGTTTTCGTCCAGGTACACTCGTTGTAAATACGTAAAAATATCTCAAATCGAGGCCATTTCTACTCGAAAATCATCCCGAGTTTCGATGAGAGTTGATGAAAAGTTGTTTGGAAGAGAATAAAGAATTTCTTTCCGCACCTCGTATATTAAATGATTAGAGATGGAATCTTTAATATCTTCATACAATCCTTTTCCGTAATTATCGGCCTTGTCCATAAACTTATTGCAGAGTTTTGCTGTCCATTGAGAAAAATTTAAGCTTCCAACGATTGTTCGTAAGAAATATTAATATTGTTAATTGTATTTCCTTTGTTTATTTAATAATGTAACTTAAGATTGTAATGCTTCGTATTATTCATTTTGATATACAGTACAGTATATAAAAAAGTCTAGTAACGAATTTCGTAACGTTACGAGATTTTACTTAGAATATAACTTTTATATTATTAATCATAATACAATACCCACTGATGGCCGAGTGAATAAAACAATTGAACACTGGCAGTAGTCGCCAGTTCGAGCATCGCCAACGGCCGGCTACGTGCTCTTCCGACTATGGTTCACGTGTTTAATAACGTGAAGAAAACCCTGAAAACTCCACCCACAAATTTCGAAGACACAACGTCATCGTTTTTAAATGTCGTGGCTGAAAACGGAATTGTTAGATTCCATCATCCGTTCTTAGCCACTTTCTAATAAAACAACTATCAGAAGGATAAAATTAGCTGTTCTATCCGTCTGATATTAGCTACATCAGGAGGATAACGTTTAACACACATCCGACTACTTTTAACCATTAAAGAGCTGGCTCTGAAAAGAGCCGTTTGGTCACCAAACCCACAAAATCTAGCCATGCCTTTTGTCAACGTTAGCACTTACGGATCTTAAAATTAAACTCTTTTGCCGGATCGTCTCCTCTTAGGCCTTTTCCTCTTAGGTCCTCTCTTCTTGCCACTGCTCCTTACCCTCGACCTGAATTTCCTGATCTTCCTATTCCTCGATCTCCCTCCCGACACGGGTCTTTTTCGTTTTCTAACTGTTCGGCGTTCGACACTTCTTAGATTAATCTTTCTATTCTTCTTGGTGACGGAAGTACCGGCAACTGGCAACACGTCTTCCATATTTCCATCCAGTTTTTCATCTGGGGGTGCCTCCCTTTCCAATCGAGAAGGGTCTTCTCCTAATGAGGGAGGATCGCCAACGCTCTTTATTTCCTTCACGGAGGAATCGTCCATAATGCCTTTTCTTTAAACACGAATCGAATAGAATAACGAATTTCTCGACGTTCTCGAACGATATTTTAAAGAGGAAACGTTCTTTTCTATATATTCGATTATTTTAAATTCGAACTCGATTTGAAACGTAATTGGTTAATTTGAAATTAACCGATAAAGCTGAAACGTAATTGGTCAATTTGAAATTTAAATCAGATTTATGAGATTTAATTAATTATATAATTACTTTAATCGCTTGCCACTCAGGCGTACGGTGCCATAATATACGCATTACCTGCTACGAGATAATATAAAAGCCATTTTTTAATAATATCAATATTGAAAAGGAAAAAAGTTTAATTAGACACGAGTTTTTCTAAACCTATTTACTTGTTATTGGCATTTAAGAATCATCAAGTCCGACCCCACTCCAGATACGACAGGACGTGACCCCTGCTACTTCTAACCACCAAAATTTAATAGCACCAATGCCTTTTACACACAAGTTACGGTGCCAAATTTCTTAATATTTACCCCATTTTGAAATATTAAACGAAACACACACACAGAGTATCATTCTTTGACTTGTTTTGGGTTCCGAGGTTCTCAAAACATCGAAATTCCAAATACGAACGTTTCACGATTACAATGTAATAACAGCAGAGAAAGCAACATGTGTTACGTTATAACAGACAGAAAAATAAATATTTGAGACGATTACAATAGTTTTTCCTCTGTTATAACATTCAGGAAAGTAAA